AGTCCCCAATGATTTTGCCTTTTCTTTGAAACCTGGAATGTTGCTACCGTCTGCAGACCTACATGAATGCCATAATGCTATTACAAAAATGAAACGTAGTTTTCAGAAGAAAAAAACAAACTTCAAATATAAATATGAACAAATTATGATCCGCGACCCATTTCACATAAGCAACAAACAGAGAACCCCTGAATGAGAGAGCAAGAGAAAAAAGGTGTATATATTATGTATCCGTTGATGTTACAATAAAAAATATTTTTTAGAAGTAAATTAAGTATTTTCAGCACTGAATCAAGTTGCAGACAAGGCAGAAAAGCATTCACTAAATGGGAATCCGAATGCATAAAATAACAATTACCAGCATTCACTGAAGAAATAATTAAACTTATTTTTCTGGAATTTGATGAGTTGGGTACAGATGATGTAAAATCCTCGCCAGTTCAGAGAAGTGTGCCACTCTCAACTAAACAATATCTTCCACCAGCTTAAGCAATTATGGGTGTTTGCAAATCCTTCACATTGATCATTCCATAAGTATTGTTCGAAAAAGTTTCTGAATCTGCACCAATCAAGTCAAACATATTTTGTATAACAGCATGCCAATTCTTGGCCTGGAAAGTTGTTTTCTTTGGAAAATTCCAGGCAGAATTCTCAGCCAAAGTCTTCGAAATTGAAAGTATATATACCATGTCTTACGACACAAATTGCAAATGGCAACAAAATTAACCAGATTGCTAACACAATATACCATGCTTGAAGCAGACCAAGAGTTCTCCACGGTGGACGAACGTTCTTCACCAACGAACCGTGAAAAATTAATCGAGGGGAAATAACAAACAAAGATTAAACGAGGGAAAATAACGCACAACGAAATCAAAACCAAAAACAGAACAAAATCAAGGGATTCATTTAAGAATAATAACTTTGAGCTTCTTGATTTTTTCTTAGGGGATTATTCAATTCTATTTCTCCATCGATATTAGGGTAAATATATAAAATTAATTATTTAATTCTATTCGAGTTAGGTAAATTAAGTCAAATTAAATTGTTGAGTTACCCAACTTAATTAGCAACGTCATGCTAAGAAAAACTTTGATGAACCATAATATCTTCACACCATTTTATACAAACTAGTGTTTTTTGTCCTTCTCAAACAAACTCAACATAATTGATAAGAGACCCAAATAAAGGCAAGAAGTAATATTGTTTTATTACAAGTGTACATTCAGAACTATAATTCATCTTCAAGAATGGAATGTTTAAAACCATTATCATCAACCAAACACTGAGATTATCATCGTTTCACTCTTGTTCATAGAGGGATATCGGAAATCAAAAGTTGGCAAAGTTCTTTTCTTTCAAACTTTCCACAGTCTCTCTCAGACTTACTTCCAATGGAATAAATTCAATCCCCAATGATTTTGCCTTTTCTTTGGAAACCTGAAATGTTGGTACATAAGGCTTATCGTCTGCAGACCTACATGAATGCCAAAACGCTGTTACAAAAATGAAAGATAGGTTTTGGAAGAAAAAAACAATCTTCAAATATAAATATAAACATTGTTGACCCTTTTTGAAAAAAAATTGTGTCCCTTTTCAAAAATAAATTAAGTATTTGCAGCACTGAATCAAGTTGCAGACAAGGAAGAAAACCATTCACTAATAATAGTTAAGCATTGAAGATGTTAAAGAAATAATTAAACTTACTTTTCTGGAATTTGATATGTTGGGTACTGATCATGTAAAATCCTGGCAAGTTCAGAGAAGTGTGCCACTCTCTCAACTAAACAATATCTTCCACTAGCTGAAGCAATCTCATAAGCCTGAATATGAGCGTTTGCAACATCCTTCACATTGATCCATCCATAAGTGTCATTTGGGAAAGTTTCTGAACCTGCATCAATCAATTCAAACATATATTATCACTACAAGTCTTGGTCTGGAGCAGACTGAAATATATTTTATGTGAATAATAATTATGTTTTCACTTGAAATATATTTTATGCTCACAGGAACTGACAATAGAATTTGCTGCATAACATGATGGAATGGATGAACCAAAATTACCATTTATTAGGTTTAAAATTGCAGCAGCACTAGTGTTTAGCTCTGCTTGCAACAGTGGCCCAACAACCATTGCTGGGTTAACAGAAACCAAGTCAAGGTTGTTTTCTTTGGAAAATTTCCAGGCCGCATCCTCAGCCAAAGTCTTTGAAAGTATATACCATATCTGTCAAACACATATAACAAATGGTAACTATGGTATTATACTACGCCTTGGTCACATAGTCGTGTCTGCTAAGTCATGGGACCGATCAATGTGCCGATCGTGTCCACTATCCAAGACCATAGCATCCACGTTCGCCAACTACTACAAAACACTGGTAACTGTAAATCCACTAATTAAGTAGAGGAAAATTCTCAACTAATGACTCTAACACAACACAGTCAATCCTTCCAAGATGACTTAAGATGTGGGGCTTATAGGCAACCTTATAAATGCAAAAGGTAAATAAATTCCTTGTAAGGAAAAGGTAACAAATATTGAGTATTTTAGAGAATCTGGAAATTCTATCTAAGTCTTTTTCTTTTTTTCTAGAACAGTAACAAAGTTAACAAGATTGCTAACATCCTGTACTAATTACTGTATTACTTTTCTGATCATCGGAACAAGCACAATAGCAACGTATCAGGATCAATAGTTTTTGCCTAGTGATTACATAGCTGTTATCAAAATCTTCACTGTCGAGGACACATGATGTTCATAAATCAAAAGTTGTCTCTCATGTAGCTCACATGTGCCATAGTGATGACAAAGCTCGTAAGCAATGTTTATGTAGATAAGTTGTATTATTCAATTCCATATTTTGAATTAGAATATAACACATACCTGTAATTCCCTACAATAATCTGGATTCGAAAACCATGTTTCATCAACTACAACTTCGGGACTTTTGGGCCTTTCATTATATGCAACAGCAGCCACAGAAGAAGTCAAAACAACTCGTCTCACAGATGATGATTTTGCACATGATTTAAGAACATTAAGTGTTCCATTCACTGCAGGGTCAATTAGTTCAGCCTGAATTCAGAAAAACAAAAGTTGGTTAAATTAAATAAGCATGTGACCATGATGAAATAAGACCACATAATTATAATTGATGAACAAAAGCAGAAGAAAGGACTAAACCTCTGGGTCTTTGACATTGTTGAAAAAGGGAGAAGCAGTGTGAAAGACTCCATCACAACCCTCAACAATAGAATCAAAGGAATTTTCACCCAAAAGATCTGCCTTAAAAAGTTGCAGTCTCTCTTCAGCACCTTCAAGTTTAAGCAGATGTTCAACCTTTTTGTGATCATCTGCAAACCCAAATGAATAAATCACTCATTTTCAATGCTACTCAACTACTACACCAATATATATCTTGGTTTTCTCTTGTTGAGAAAAATAACATAGGAAAATAATATCAGTGAATGAATAGAAAGAAGGAGAAATAGGTGCAAGAAGAGAAAGACACTGACTTGGGTTGCGAACAGTGGCCCTGACAGTGTAACCACGTTGAAGGAGGAACTTCACAATCCATGAAGCAATGTAACCTGAAGCACCAGTCACACACACCAACTTCCCTTCACTGCTCATACTTCCTTCAAGTGACTGTGCTTTGGTGATGGCTTCCATCTCATTATATAGAGATTCAGAAAGGTGTCCAATTTTTATAATAGTGTGATTCTTTAATTACAAAATTCTTATTTTTTTTAAATAAATACTTTGTTTATATTTTTAAAATTAATGATATTTCCACTTTCTATAGTTTTAAAAGAGAAATTATTAATTTTTAATGATACTAAATTTTTAAATAAAAAATAAAATAAATATTATTTACTAAAAATATAACAAGTTTATTTTAAAATTGGAATATAAGATTTTTCTAAATCAATCAATAGTTTTATGTTAATTATATAATTATATTAAATAAAGATTGATGTAAGGATGGATAAAAAATTGGTGGATCTTTGGAGCTTTTCTTTTTAAAAGAAGAAATGTTTATCGGCAAATGACACTAATTCTTTTATTTTAAAATTTTTATTCATCACAATTTTATATTTAAAAATACAGTAAATTAAGAAAGAAAAATATATATAATTTATTTATAATATTGAATAATTATATTTTTTTATTTGAATAAAAATTAAAATGGTATTTATATTTTAAAAATAAAAATAAAAATAAAGTCTTTTGAAAAAAATTATTTTGTTTTCCAATTAAAAAAGGAAAGTGTTTGAATACAGAGCACTGTAGATGACGTGTTGTTCCTGGTTGTTTTGGTACTAAAAGACAGTGGCTGCTACCTTTAATTAATAGGGTAATTGCTAATATAAAATTTGCTAGTGTTCCATAAAAAAATAGTTTACTATACCCTACTGCTTCAATTATCAACCATTAATTTACCTTTAATTTTTCTTCCTTTCTTGAATTGAAAATTACGTGTATGAATGCGTAATCTAATCCGATCACTATCTACAAACTTTGATTAAAAAAATAAAATCACGTTAATTGGTTGAGTGGATAATTTCTTTTATTAAAATAGATTTTTTGGATTATAATGATTATTATCTAATTTATTTGTTTTTTTAATTGATTAGCTTTTAGATAATTTAAAAATGTATAATTTGATTAAAATAATACTTAATTTATTACATTATTTATAAAAAATTATATTCATAAGTATTGTTAAAGAATTAAGATTATAAATAATTTATATTTTTTTTCAATGGAAAAAATAAAATTATGATAAATGAAATTTTTAAAATAGACAAAATAATGAACTTAAAAATTCATCAAATTGAAAAAACAAATATTTGGTTCCAACACCAATTTGGAACAATTTTTATTTGAAGTATTGAACATGATACCCAATTGAAACCAAAGTCATAAAAGTTCAGATGAAATTACAAGCATTATTTTTCATTAATAATTCCCCTTGGAGGAGAAATCCGAACTAGAAATCAACAAATTTCTTTTCTTTTAAGCTTTCAACCGCCTCCCTCAAGCTTTCTTCCAATGAAGTAAATTCAATTCCCAAGCTCTTCGTCTTTTCTTTTGAAACCTGAAATGTTGGTACAAATGGCTCATCGTCTTCGCACCTGTTAAGAAAGTGAAGAACATGTTATTTCAACAATCACAACGTGACATTTAATTATATTATCTTCTCATAATTAAACTTACTTGTCTGGAATCTGCAAAGTTGGGTACATATCACGCAAAATATTGGCAAGTTCTGAATAATGTGCCACTTTTTCAACCAGACAATATCTTCCACTGGCTGAATCAATCTCATACGCTTGAATATGAGCATTTGCAACATCTTTCACGTTCACCCACCCATAACTGGAATTTGGAAACGTCTTGGAACCTGCATCAACCAAATGAAAAGAGTTATTATTATACACGTTAAGCAATAATACAGTTTTGTTTCCTAATATAATTTAATGTTTTTATTACCATTGATTAGGTTTAAAATCGCAGAAGAACTTGCGTTAACCTCTGGTTGCAAGAGAGGTCCTATGCACATTGCTGGGTTAATAACAATCAACTTAATGTCGTGTTCATCAAAAAATTTTCTAGCATCTTCCTCTGCTGAAGTCTTTGCAAATGCATACCATCTCTGAAAATAAGAAACACAAAATTAAGAAATTGTTGAATAGAAATGGTTGAGAAAGAAGAATGGCACATACTTCATTTTCTCTCAAGAAGTTTGTATCTGAAAACCATGTCTCATCTACGACAACCTCGGGAGTACGAGGCCTTCCATTATACAAAACCGCAGCAACAGAAGATGTTAAAACAACTCGTTTCACTGATGTCGATTTTGCACATGATTTAACAACGTTAAGAGTTCCCTTAATCGCTGGATCAAGTAACTGTTTCTGAAATAAAGAAAAACAACATTTAAGACTGAATCATCACATAACTAATCAGTTTCGAAAACACAACCAAACCATCTCATGAAAAATGAATGATGAAATGAACCTGTGGGTCGTCGACAATGAAAGGAACGGGTGAAGCAGTGTGGAAGACACCAGAACAACCTTCAAAAGCAGAGTCAAAGGAACCTTCTTCAACAAGATCTGCCTTAAAGAGATGTAACCTCTCCTTTGCTCCATCAAGTTTAAGCAAGTGATCAACCTTTTCAGGTTTAGCTGGATAGATCAATATCATAAAATCAGTCTTTCGTTTTTCTTCAATTAATCAACCTAATTCAAAACTGTATCTCTTTTCTGTTTTAGCCTTTGCATTCTTTAGGTTCATATCGTATTCAAAGGATCACTTTCGTTTTAAGGGAAATTGATCATGTGTCAAAGTTTCCAACAAATCATAAAAATTCAGAAAATCATCTCATAACAAGACTTATCTAACCTCAATCCAAAGTTTAGGACTGTGTCCTAAACCCAATTAGACAAAAAAAAAATTAGACAGATCACACATATATTGGACTAATTCGTATTCTAAAAAAACTGAGAAGAGAGAACAAAATCAACCAAGTCAAACAATTAAAACGACAAGAAATGTGAAAGAGGAGCTGACATGGATCACGAACTGTGGCTCTGACAGTGTAACCACGTTGGAGAAGGAATTTGATGATCCATGAAGCAACGAAACCAGAAGCACCAGTCACACACACCACTTTTTCTGTGTTGCTGTTCATCTTCTCTTCCTTAATTAAATACCAACTTTCAAGTTCTGCTAAATTAATTTCTACTTAAGGAGATCTCATTTCATATGAGTAATTAGGACCTAACTTTTTGTTAAAAAATGAGTCAACCGAAACACATAAAAAACAAATGTTGATTACATCTTACAAGACTACAAAACAGGGCAATTCTTCTAAGTCTAAATTTGATACTTGTGATATTTTATTCTTTTCTTTTCTGAATTTTCAAATATACACGCATCCCAAAGAGACCATGTTGCATTAATTGGTAAGTATGGCACACATTTTTCTACTAAATCGACACTGACATGTTCTTAACAAGTATTTTCTTGGCGAATTTTCTGTTGTACTTTGTTGAACAAAACCTTTCCATGCTGACCATTTGATCTGTTTTTTCTTTCTCTTTTTGTCTTATACATATAGAAATATGAATTGAACTATTAAACTGCTGAAATTATTGAAGTGGCCACATTGCAAGGGTTTTAAATTCAATATAAAATTTGCACTGAAAAGAATCTTATATGTACATAGCTATTGCATGATAAATTTTTAAATCCCGTTGAAACAATTATATGCAGATGCTTTAGGTGATACACATCATACACTTTATTTAAAAATTTATTTGAAACCTTTATTTATATATATAATTATTTAAGGGTATGTTATTTATAGAATAGTAAAATAGATTAATGGGTATATTTTTATCTCTAGTACCTATTCATTATAAAGATCTCTTAAGAATAAAATTAAATATTTTATTATGAGTCTTATGGATAAGTTAATTAAAATTTGGTTAGAATTGTTTATTTAAGTAATTTTTTTTTTATTTTAACCAACTTTTTTCATTTATAAACCACTCAAATTTAAAATTCATATATAATAAAATATTTATTTTTATTCTTAAACAACTCTTATTAACCACTCCCTTTAAAAATATTAATAAAACAGACCACAAATTCTAACTTATGAAAAAAACGATGAATTAACGTATAATCCATCAATATATAATTTTTTATATAAAATTTTATATTAATTTAAAAAAAATATCTTTAATTATATGAATAATTTTTAATTTTTTTATTAATTAATATTTTTATTAGATAAATTTAAAAATTATTATATTTAGATGTTAAAATATCCCTTTAAAACTAATAATTTATGTTTAATTAATTAATATATATATATATATATATATATAATTTAAATTATAATAATATAATAATATTTATATTTTTTAATAATATAACAAAAAATATATAATATTTTAAATTACAATTTTTTATTATAATTTTACTATATAAATATATTTTAAAAACGAGTTAAAAAATTACTGTTGGTTCCTATGGCATTGTAGATTAAACGAAAATGAACTCATCAACTAAAATTACCTGTAGAAATCACCAATCCCTAAGGTAACCCACTTTGTTATCATGGAGTCACTCTTTGGATTTTTTTCTTCGACTTTCACAAGCATAAAAGAAGAACAAAAAAGCTGTTACGGAAAGCTCACGTTTCTTCATGGATCTATAGATTTTTCTTTTCTTCTCTGGTTCTTTTGATGAACATCTTCAAATCCAGAAACACCTATACAACTTACTTATATTGATAACTTCAAAATTTTAAATTAAATGATAAAAGTTAATTATATAATACAATATAAAATAAAAAAAGGTGTAGCATAGTTGTTATGTAACTATGAGTACCTCATAATTATACTTAAATTCTGAAAAAAAAAAAATCATGACAGGGTAATGCAGTGTGACCATGGAAAGTTGCATAGTAGACTATAACAGTGACACCACCACTAGTTGAGTTCTTACTTTATTCCTTAGTGATTTAGTGGGCAACACAAAGTGACCACCACTATGTACCTATACAATTATGATACCACTTTTTTAAGTAGTATTTTTTTTTCTTAAAAATTTAAGTTTACTTGTATTTTTCATCTTTTTTGTTTTCTTTTTCTAATTTATTCACATAACTTATTAATTACTTTTTTTTACACTATTATAACATAAAATTTTGTTTTTCCTTACGAAAATAAAATATTACAGATAAGACTAAAAAATAAAATTTTATCTTTTAGTAAGAGTGTTTGTATATCAAAATCCCAGAATTTAAAATCAATATAGAATATTAAATAAGATAATCTCAATTAAAATTAACATTTTATATTATAATTTAAAATAAGATAATCAAGGTCTAATAATCTAAATTTAAGATAATATTACAAACCAAATGAAGATGGGTAAAAGTGAAATTTGTTAAAATAATAATTATATTAAATTTTAATAATACATATAATTAATAATTAGTATTATATATTTATTATCTCAATGTTTAGTCACTTGAGAGTCCAAGTGTGTTTAGAAAAGAAGGGAAAAATTTGAAAAAAAAAATAGAAATTTGGAGTCTATAAATGAGTGATGTGTGCAACAATAAAATATTGAAAAGTATGTAATTCTAATATATTTTTTTCCCCTTTTTAAAGTGGTAGCATCCTTCTTTATGTTTAAAAATTAGTAATGAATAATTAAAACTATAACTATTCACGATAATACTGAAAATTTAACAGTACAGATATTTTGAGAACTATCTATGTAATATATAACCTTAAAATAATAAATTTTTATAATAAAATAAAATATAAAAATAATAATATAAAAATGTTTATATATAGATGTAGGAATATCTATTTGAAAAATAAGAAGTTACCTTAACATCTTTTCATCCCCAAATAATTATCGATATAAAAACATAAAAATAAAAGGTTGATCTTTCGATAGGAAAAAGAGAGGATCCGGATAGTCCTAAATCAATTGGCTTATTCTGCAAGAACAAGAACTCTGGATCATTTTTTTTAAGTTTATTCTCTTCATCATAAATGATCCGTCTGTCTCAATATCATCTGACCCAACATGGAAATCTTAATTTATTGGGTCTTTCAATTCAATCATATTTTAAGCGATGTGATTGAAAAAAACACGTCGAATACTCCGAATCATATTTTCATAGATAAATATATGAGCAACAGATAGAATAAAATTTATTTTAAATCATATTGAAAAAATTCCTTGGTTCGAATAAAAAAAATTAATGTCACTCAACAAGAAATTATTGATAATATTTTAAAAAAATAAGTTATCAATATATCATTAAAATTTATGTCAAAAAATCATGTATAAAATAGTGTTCTCGTGGTAAAACTACAATCCATAACTAGCCTAATAACAAAGAAAAAAAATAATGAAATAATGATATTAATTAAAATTTATCCTCTGGTATTTGGTTCCATTTCTTAAAAAAAATAATGCATAATATGTTATATTGATTATTTTTCATAAAAAAATACTATTAACTATGAGTGCATTTAAAATTTATTAAATATTAAATGAAATACTTCAATATTTTAAGTTCTTTAACATTTTATAATAAAAAAATTGATTTGAGTCAAATTTTACAATGAACAATACACGTAAGTGGGACATTGGATAAGGAACATGTGTTTCACTAAAAAAATGTTTTTCTTCCTACCAACCCATCATCCTTAACCAAGTGTAACGGAACACAACCTCTGCACCTCTCACTGTCTCAAGCCAATTCACCACTCCATTCACTTCTTCCTCCTCATCATCATTATTCCCTCTCCATTCCACCCTCTTCATCAAGCATCAACATTTCACTCATGGCTTCTCTTCCGCTTCTCCACCACCTCATCCCATCTCTTCCCCTTCCAACATCACACACCACCTTCAACAACACATCAACCACAACTCTCTTCTTCTTTTCCAAAAACAAACCTTCCCTAACCCTCAAATGCTCTTCCACCTCAAAACTGGACCAAGAACAAGAACAAGAAACAATTGAGTTCGAAGCTCCCTTGAGCCAAGTGTGGAGGGAAATCCAAGGCATGAACGATTGGAAAGGGTTGATAGAGCCAACCATGAACCCTCACCTCCGAAGAGAAATAATCCGGTACGGCGAACTCGCACAAGCATGCTACGACTCCTTCGACTTCGACCCTCACTCCAAGTACTGTGGAACATGCAAGTACCACCCTTCACACTTCTTCCACAAACTCAACTTGTCCCACTCCGGCTACTCCATCACCCGCTACCTCTACGCCACCTCCAACATCAACCTCCCCAACTTCTTCCAGAACTCCAACCTCGCCTCCGTCTGGAGCCCACACGCCAACTGGATGGGCTACGTCGCAGTCATCACCGACAAGGAACACGTCAAACGCCTCGGACGCCGCGACATCCTCATTGCATGGCGCGGAACAGTAACCTACCTCGAATGGATCCACGACCTCAAAGACATTCTCCGCCCCGCGTTCTTCTCCAACGACCAAACCATCAAGGTAGAATCTGGATTCCACGACTTGTACACCAGAAAAGAACACTCCTGAACCTATTGCTCTTTCTCCGCTCGCGAACAAGTCCTCTCAGAGGTTAAACGTCTTCTTAACTACTACAAAGACGAAGAGGTTAGCATCACCATCACCGGGCACAGTCTCGGCGCTGCCTTGGCCGCTCTGAGCGCCTACGACATAGCTGAGGTGAGGCTAAACGTGGTTGACAACAGTGAACGTGTTCCAGTGACCGTGTTTTCGTTTGCAGGGCCTAGAGTTGGGAATTTGAAGTTTAAAGAGCGGTGTGAGGAGCTTGGGGTGAAGGTGTTGAGAGTGGTGAATGTGCACGATGTGGTGCCCACCGTGCCGGGGATAATAACAAACGAGAAGTTTTTGTTTCAGAAGTACATAGAGGATGCTTTGTCGTTTCCATGGAGTTATGCGCACGTGGGAACGGAGATTGCGTTGGATCATAAGGAGAGTCCGTTTGTGAAGGGGAACAAGGATCTGGTGAGTGCGCATAACTTGGAGGTGCACCTGCACTTGGTGGATGGGTACCATGGGAAGGGGAAGAGATTCTCTTTGGCGTCCAAGAGAGACATAGCACTGGTGAACAAGAGCTGTGATTTTCTGAGGAGTGAGTACGGTGTTCCGCCGCATTGGCGGCAGGATGAGAACAAGGGAATGGTGAGGGACGGAGATGGGCGGTGGATTCTTCCTGAGCGTCCTAGATTGGAGGCTCATCCGCCAGACATGGCTCACCATCTCCAGCAAGTGATAGACAACCACCTTCCATGTCAGCCGCAACAAGAAGAAATCATGTAAGGTATATGTTTGGAAAAAATTTAAATATTTAAAACACAAAAATATATAAATTATATAAATAAATTCCTTCCGGTGCAATTTTTAGGAGAGACTACTTACGTGAATTTTAATGAAAAAAAATAAATGAAGGGGACCCTTATAATAAATATAAAAAAATAGAAATAAAAATATATTTTTTTATAATCATTAAACTATGAAAGAATCTAAAATATAAAATAGGGGATCATGATCCTCATCTCTTTATTTCTCACAAACATTTCGTTTCTTTTGTTTGTGTAGTGATGAGTGTAGCGTGCATGAAAAGCAAATAGCCGAATTCCTTTCCCTTTTTCTTCCAGTGCCTTCAAAGTCTAGCATTTGTTTATAGGAAGAACGAATTTAAAATATTTGTAATTGATTTAACACCCATTGCTTAATTGATTACGGGGATGACATTTAAACATGTATAACCGATTCATCACTTAGGGAAAATGAGAGTTAACCAGGTGCGGGATGGATTCATATTTTGGCTGGTTTAAAAAGGTCGGGATGAATATGAATAATTAAATTTTATACAATTTGTATATAATTTATTATTATTATTATTATTATTTAATATAAAATTTAAATTTAAATTAAAAAGTATTAATATTTTAATATTTATTGTGTCTAACCTTGTAATTATCTAGTAGATATTTATATTTAAATTTTAAAATATTAATATTTAAAAATATTTCATTTTCTTTTTCTATTATATATAAGATCATTTTTTTATATTTTTTTTAATTTTTTATTTTTCTTCTACCTATTTTTTAATTTTTTTATCTTTTTTAATTTTTTATATCAATTAATTTATTACATTATTTTCTCTTACCTTTCAGTTTTTTACATTTTTTTAATCTTTTCTATTATTTTTTTTTCAAATTTTTCAACTAATTTGATAAACATAAAGTTAATTTTTTTCTTTATCTTTTTCTAAATATTATACATAAAATTTAGTAGTAACTAATATTATTTTATTTATAATTTATATTTATTAGGTTTTATTATATCATATTTTGTAATCTTATTCTTATTTATCATATATCAAATTTTATCTTAATAAAATAATTATATTTTAAAGAATTAAAATGAATTGATAATTTAAACTTTTATTACTTCAAACTAATTAAATAAGAATTAACTTATTAAATATTTCCTTATAAACTATATATTTCATATTTTTAAATGACAACTTAAAAATGAATTAACTTATATATATAATCAAATATTTGAATACAAGTGTTATAATAATAATATTATAAATATTCAAATATTTGAATATAATGTTATAATAATAATATTATAAATATTCTATATATATATATATAATATAAATAAAAAATAATTAAATATTTATTTTACATATATATTTTAATATAAATATAATAAATTAAAATGTATATTTAATTAATAATAATTATAAATTATAAAATTATAAATATTTATTTATATATAAAAAATATATAATAAAATTAATTTATTATAAATGTAATTATCTCAAAACGAGCTCATCATATAAACTTAATTTCTAACCTCAGTAAATATCACAATAAGACCGAGATAATAAAAAAGGTCGGACACGAGGTTCGTTCCCACTCCACCCGATTGCCGCGCCTAATTCCTCGTTATGGTCTCCTGGCCATAGCGTATTTTATTTGTTGTCATTGTTAAGTGGACAACGTTTGTTATTAAGAAATATTAGTTTGCATTTTTAGTTGTATTGGTCTGTGAAATAAAGTTGTGAATATTGTAAATGTATCTATATGTTTTGGGTGTAGAATAGGGGTTTTTTTTTTACTAAACGTGGACAATTATTTTTCAAATTTATTAAAATGAATAAATTTTCAAAAAATTAAGATTTTGAGTAAGTCGTAGAACGGAGAATTATTAATAAAATTAATAATATTATTAATAATTATATTCTTATTAATAAAAATAATATTAATAATAAGATAATTATATATTAATAAATATGAGTTTTTTATGATTATTATTATTTTAATAATAATAATAAAACAATATTTATAATGAATAATTATTAATAAAATTATTTTTTATTGAATAATAATAATAACAAATATTAAAATAAGTAATAGAATTGTAATTATTAAAATATTTATTTTATTTTTAATATTATTTTTATTTTATATAATTATAAATTTATTTTATTATTAATAATAAAATTGAAATAATATTAGTTATTATAATTATATTATTTTTAATAATATTATTTTTATTTTATTATTAATAATAATATAATATTAATTTAAATAATAAAATAAATAATACTTTTAATAATAATATAAATTAAATTATTATCATTATTATTTATTTTATTACTAATAATATAAAATATATTATTATTAATTATTATTATTATTATTATTATTTAATATAAAATTATAATTCATATTAGATAGTACAACTCTTATATAAATTTATATAAAAATACGACTTATTCACGTAGAGTAGTAGTCCTTGATGTAATTTTTTAAAAATTTACTTATTTTGATTATTTAAACAAAAAATTGTCCCAATTTAGTAAGGAAGCAGTAGAATGAAGCCGTGAAATGGAAACATTAGTTGGAAGTGATATGTTTTGCAAAACATATATTTTCTATTTCAAACTTTAAATGTGAGATTTTTTATGCTTTGTTGATTTTGTTGATGGATGAATGTTACCAAATTGACCTTTCTAACAGGAATTTCTTTTCCAAAATATTTATAAATTCGTTATAGTAAAATTGTTTGAAAAGTTATATGATGAATTATATTATGTTGTCGGGTAATGTTTTGTATGATGATTTGATGATTGATAGAAATTTGGTTAAGAATTATACTCTAAAAGTTCTAATTATTCTATTTAGTTTTATTAGGTAGTTAATTTATTGATAAAGTATTACGTATTGATTAAAAAAAAAAAAAGTCAATAAACTTTTCTTCTGTTTGAGAAACTACACTTTTAATCCATTTCAGGGTTAATATTATTTTTGTATTTTGGTTGGTTGTATTAGTATTACTTTTATATACTATTGCAACTTGGTGTGTTCAACTACCTTGGTTGCATTAAGTACACAGTTCCATCATTGTTTCATTCTCTGCATAAATATCTACTTTAACTAAATCCTTAGAGCAATATTGGTCATGATGAATTATATACTAAGCCATCAACATGGTGAAAAAATGGTCGTTTTGGGCAAAGTTAATTAATTTCCTATTTAACATTAAATTCTTATAAAACTAGGCATGACAATGGGATGGGGAGGATTTTACCTCTCGATTTCAGCCCAACTTTTTTAACTGTTATTATCATTGTCTTTAATTTTTTTGGAGTTAAAAATTAAATGTTCATCTCCGTTTCTATTAGATTTCTAGTTTTTTTATTTCGTTCTTGATCTATATTATTTTAAAAAAATAATTATATTTATAATAAATTAATTTTACTATATATATATATATTTTATAATAAATAAATATTTATAAATTGTAATTATTATTAATTAAATATATTTTTTAATTTATTATAATTTTATTAAAATATGTATATAAAAGATATATTTAATTATTTTTTATTTATTTATATATATATATATAATATTATTATTATTATAATACTGTATTCAAACATTTGAATACTTATAACATTATTATTACACTGTATTAAAATATTTTATTATATATATAAGTTAATTCATTTTTAAGTTGTCAATTAAAATATGAAATATATAGTTTATAAATAAATATTTAATAAGTTAATTCTTATTAAATTAGTTTGAAGTAATAAAAGTTTAAATTAACAATTCTTTTTAATATTTTAAAATACAATTATTTTATTAACATAAAATTTGATACATAACAAATAAGAATAATAAGATCCAAAAAATATGACATAATAAAATCCTATAAATATAAATTATAAATAAAATAATATTAATTACTACTAATATTTATATAAAATATTTAAAAAATATAAAGAAGAATAAAACAAATTAGTTTTGTGTTCATCAAATTGATTGAAAAGATTAAAAAAAATTGATTGGAGAGATTAAAAAAATATGAAAAAAATGAAAGGTAAGAAAAAGAAAATAATGTAATAAACTAATTTATATAGAAAATTAAAAAAGACAAAGAAATTAAAAAATGAATAGAAAAAAGTAAAAATTATGAAATATAAAAAAAAATAATCTTATATATAATAAAAAAAATACTTTTAAAATATTAATATTTTAAAATTTAAAGATAAAATCGACGCAACGAGAACGAAATGAAGATTACATTACCCACTCTGCCCTCACTCCTGTCCTCGCTCCCGCACTCGCCCTCACCCCCGCCCTCGCCCTCACCCTCATTTCCGCCCCGTCTCTTAGTTAACTCGACTTTCCCTGTTAAACTCAGACGGAAACGGATAGGTTGACACGGTACCAGTTTAATTGTTATAATCTAATTTTTGTTTTTCAATTATGCTTTTGGGCTATCACAGTGGGCTTGCATAGGTAAGAGAGTAATAATCCGCATACAATGCACGTGCTGTCATGTTACTTGGGGCTGCAAAGATATTACAAGAAATGAAAGACATGTTACAGGTGAAGGGTACTTAAAAAATCATATTAAAAATTTAAGATTTATTATATATCTTTCTTATTTTGAAAACTTTAAACCTTACATATTGATCTTGTTCCAAGATCCGTGAAGGAAAGAGATATAGAGTAAAACACTAGTAAAAACGCTAAAGTAACAAAATAAAGATTAAGAAAACTGTTAACCTGGAAGATTTCATTTCTGAAAAATGATGTTGAAACGTGTTGTAATTGAATGTGATATTGCAAAGAGTAGTGATATTTTGACAATCAGAAATCATACCACTCTTTAAATAACTCATTTTTATTAATATAATAATTCATAGACTGATTTAATAAAAATAAAATAAAACTATTATTATAATATTAAAACAGAGTTGTTTACAGGAGTTGTATGGATTTATGTTGTCAAAATATCATTTTCCTATTACAAATGGTTCAACTACCAAAATAAGGATTAAGAAAATTTTAAACCTAAAAGATTTCAAGGTTATTCAGGAAATTATGAAAAAAAAAGATGGGAGAAGGAATTTACTGCAAGAAAACAAGAATTTTAAAATTTTTTAAAAAGAAAATTAGAGGGAAATCTTTTATCTAAAAAATTAAGGAAAGAAAATTAGATAAAATTTGTGAGATCAAATATATTTTATCTGAAAAATAAAAACAAAGAAAGAATCAAAGTTTTTATCAAGTTACTTATGTTTTTTTCATTGCACTATATTATATTTTTTAAATTTTATTTATTGTAAATTTTAATTATAAATAATTTATATATTTGGATTGTTTTATTTTTTAAAAATGCACAATAGTAGTTTATAATAAGGTTTAATGCTTAAAATATTTTTATCCATTATTTTATATGGTTCAGATTAAGAAAGAGATAGGTGAATTAAGAAAAAAAAAGCATATATAATTTTTAGTCTTAATTTTTAAATAATGTAAAAACTTACGAATACATCAGAATATAATCTGAATAAAGGAAATCTACCTTCTGTTTTACTTTACTCTTAATTTTATCAAATTAATTTATAATATATATTATTTAATAAAATAATTATACTTTACTTTTTATTTAAAAGATAGTTATTTCATATCTTCATTTAACCTATTTTTTAAACTTTTCCTACTAATTCATTAAACTAAACCTAATTGTCGATAATATGTTAAAACCGTATAAAAAAAGTGTCCATTATAAAATAAAATAACTTATTCAATTCGAACCATACAAATCGAACTGACTTTATTCAAATTTAATATTATTTTCAATTTGACTCAAACTAAACCAACAAATGTTATGATTGTATAAAATGTCTTTTTAGTGAGTTAAAAAAAGTAACGCATAACGTCATGAAGAAGCCGATGACGCGTTCTATTTTATAATTTATTAAATAACAAGGAATATATTTTGCTAACAAAATAATTGGGAATATAGTATAACTTTTTATGGACTAGCTTTTAAATATATATTTTTTCAATAAAAATACTTTATAGTTTTTCATCATGTGCTCTTAGGCATATGTTACAAAATTTGCTTTATTTTACAAAATATAATATTTACAAATTAAATTAAACTAAATAAAGAGGATGAATTAAATATAAAATGGTAATATTTTGATTTTATAATTTATCAAATATTTGAGAATATATCTCCTCTTATTTGAGATTGAGACTATATTTTAATATATTTACGGGATTTAAAATTAAATATAAAAGTAATATTATCTTCTCCTAACTTATTAATATAGTTTTTTAAAAATCAAACTGAGATACAATCATTTTTAGAATGAATACTATTTTAAATATAAATTAATAAATTACATAATATATATATATATATATATATAATCCATAAAATATATTTTTAAAATAAAATTAAGATAAATTAAAACTTTAAAATATATAATATAAAATCAAAATACTTTGATTCCTAAATAAAGAATCATCATCCAAAAAACTTTACAAGCATTAAAAACACTGAAACACAAAGTATTTTATATTGTTGGTAAATCTTCATCATAGTGACATTATAAAAAGCAAAGAAAATTAAATTTTTGTTTAGTAAAAAATTAAAATAAATCAAATTCGCAATATTCTAAAGAGGAATAGACAAATGAATGAAAAAGACGATGAAAAACTTTATGAAAAGGAGGATAGAATAAAAGAGAAGAAAGAGCAATGGTTGTCATGATGGTCACAGATAAAAAAAAATATAGTTTTAAAAAGTATGAACATGTGGTTTAATTATTATAGGATTATTCTAAGCTTGAAATTACTTTAACAAAAGCTATGCAAAAAAAATTTAAACTTTATGTGTGTCTTTTACTATATTTTATTGTATTAGGTTAAGTGGAGACTTTTTTTAGACAGGTTTAACATTATTCTAATTTAATTAATAATATAAAATTTGAATCTTGATATATAATTATTTAGCTAGAAATAATAAAATATGATTGCTTTTGTATAACAGATGTATTTAGTGTATGTTACTATATAAGATTAAAAGAAATAATAAAAACTTAAATTAAATTTTCACCAAAAACAATATATTAAAAAAATATAATAATTTTTTATATTGTTTTTATTTATATACTACTTATATTTTGTTCTATATTAACCTCGTTCATAGAGGGTTTAACTTATATTTATGTAAGTAAAAAAACAAAATTAATTAAAATAAAATTTACAGCATGTATATTCGATTATATTATAAATATAATCGACTTTACGTAAATGATTTTATACATTTTTTAATTATTTAAAAAAAACACTCTTCGATTATTTAATAAAACAGACCATTGTATTTTACATGTTTATTAATTTGATTTTTTTTAATATTTTGCTCTAAATAAATAAAAAATAATTGAAGATGTTTCAAATTTTAGATAAATTTTATTTTATTTTTTATTTTTATAATTAATACTTCAGTTTTCTTAATTTAATTAATTTTTTTTAGTTTTTTAACTCTATTAATATTTTTTAAAACTAATAAATAATAAGCAAATATGTCTCCATTTATACAGGCTAAAATATCTCAATTTACTTATTTTAACTCATGTAACATTTTAAAGAAATATTTAAAATTATTAGACAAATATCTTTCCGTCTATATTGGGTAATATCTTCCCATTTATGTTTGTTAGAGTTGTTTTAACTTAAAATAACATTTTAAACAGATATTTATAGATATTAAACAAAATATCTCTCCATTTATATAGATTAAAATGTTTCCATTTACATGGATAAATATTTTATCTTATCTCCTTATAACATAGAGAATACTATTGCTATAATTAAAAACATATACATTTATTTATACATCCATATTAATAGATTAATAAGAGATATCATATTAATCTTTTGAATAGGAAGGTAGGTTCGTACCATTTCTCATTTCTAACAGAGTTGGTAATTATAACTAATACAAAGGTTCTTACCGTTTCTCATTTCTAATAATAATTTTGTAAAATAAAAGTAAAAGAAAAAAATTTACCATTAACTCTTTAAATTAAAATCAACTTACATAAATTTATTAAGTTGATTTCAATTTGCATAAAATTTAATTTTAAAAAATATTTACATAAAACTCATCCTAATAAAATAATAACTTATTTATTTAATTATATAATTTATTATGATAAAATAATTTTTTTCATTATTTTTTAACATTTTACAATATCAATCTATTATTAATTTTAGTTTAATATAATATATTATTTTTTGAAATAAATTAATGTAATAATACTAATTTGAAGTTATTAAATAATGTGATTATATTGATTGATCTAACATTTCTAATTATATTAACAAATGTGTTTTTATTATGCCTGTTATCTTACATTATTTGTTAGGAAGTATAAGAAAGTTGATGAGAAATAAAATGAATTGATTTATTTAAAACATTAATTAAATTAACAATACAAATAATAATAATAATAAAGTGAAGTTAAAAAAATTATTTAATTTAAATAATTTTTTTATCCTATTATTCTTTTATTGTTTTGAAATTTATTTTACTACAATATTTTTTTTAACTGAGTGATATGATATATTTCATCAATTTGACCAAGTTATCTAATGATAAGATATTTATTATGGCACACATATTAATGTCATACCAACCAAAGACATATACTGTCACATTAATACAAATGAGTGTTTATTTATTTTAAAAAAATTAGTATTAAAAATATAATAAGACAAAATATAAATAAAAGAATAAAAAAAGAAATTATCATGAACTTAACCTAAATGCTAAACCGTAAATGTGGATGGTCAAAGGAGGCTCGTGGGATAATAAAAGGCCAAGCCTAAGAAGTATCGCCCGTCGCCTTCTTCAAGTGGAAACAGGTTTTGTTTTGTTTTGTTCAATATTAAATGTTCTCACCAAAACACCAAAAACATCCACAACAAACAAAGGACTCTGCTAAACAAAACAACATACCTAGTATTTCACACCAATTCTTCTGTTTCTCCTAAGCACAGGAAGAGTAGAAGAAGGAGGAAGGGAACCAAACCTACAACGCAAAGCAGCAATGGCGATCTCTCTCTCCTTCGTCACTCCTCCCTCTTCCACTTCATCTTCACTCTCGTCTTCCAAATCCATTCCATCACTTTCCCTCTCTCCGTCCTCCCTCCGCCTCCCCCGACGCGCAAACCGTTTGCTCCCTCTCCGATCAGTGTCTGTCTCCGGAGGCTCCGGCGGCGGATCCTTCGGAGGCTACGGCGGCGGTCATGGACACGGCGGTCATGGTCATGGAGGTAACGACGAACACGGAAATGACGGAAAGAACGAGGCCTTAATGGTGATGGCGGAGGCGGGAAGGGCGTTGGAGACCGTGCCAGCGGACTTGGCGGCGGCGGTAAAGGAGGGCAAGATTCCGGCCGCGGTGATTACGCGGTTTCTGGAACTGGAGAAGTCGGCGTTCTTCCGGTGGCTGCTTCAGTTCCCTGGTTTCAGAGAGCGTCTACTCGCCGATGATCTCTTCCTCGCGAAAGTCGCGATGGAATGCGGCGTTGGCGTCTTCACCAAGGTTTCTCTTCTGTCACCTTCTCTTCTCTCCATTCACACTTTCAATATCAAATTGCCAAAGAAATTCGCGGTGTGTTTCTTTCTCTTGTGTTTAGACTGCTGCTGAATACGACCGAAGAAGAGAAAATTTTTTCAACGAGCTTGAAATTGTCTTCGCCGATGTGGTACGGTTTTTCTTTCTGTTGTATTGCACTTTGTACATTCTACGATCGAGAATAAGTGTTGTGTTGGTTTGTGTGAAATGTGTAATGAAGTTGATGGTGTAAGGTCGCTAATTGTATGTGTTGTTTTCTTCTTAGGCGATGGCCATCATTGCAGATTTCATGCTGGTTTATCTTCCTGCGCCTACTGTTGCCCTTAGACCTCCACTCGCAGGCACCGCAGGGCCTATCGCCAAGTTTTTCCATGGCTGCCCAGATAATGCTTTTCAGGTTTTTATACATATACCCCTCAGGTTTTGATTACTTCCATAATTTCACAATTAAATGTTGGTATTTATGTATCTCATGTTCTTATTTCCTTCAACAGGTTGCTCTCTCTGGAGCATCATATTCCTTGATACAGAGGATTGGTGCAATTGTGGTATGTACTACAATTTGGTATCTTATGTGTTATTTGTCTTGCAGTTTGAATCCAATTTTGCCCCTTTCGTTTTCTGTGACTGAATATAATGTGGTTTCCTTGCGCAGCGGAATGGGTCTAAGCTCTTTGTTGTTGGCACAGCTTCATCACTGGTTAGTTCTTGTCTTCCTTGCAATTTTTTCCTGTGCTTTGAGAATTTTTTGTTTGTAAACTTTTGCATCTCTTGCCCGTAAGTTTTATGAGAATTTCTGGATATTTATTCATTAACCGTCACCAGAACTAAGGAGACTCATGATCTGGTTACAGAGTTGACTGATGCAGTCTTCTCATTTATTTTCTACAGAATTTGACTTCTTGAGCGTTGCGCAAAGAGTTTAGTCTTACGTTTTCCTTTGAGTAATGAGTATTAGTTAGAGCTAACACTGTCAGAAATTCTATCATGAAAAAGTCATTTTTAATGTTTCCCATCATAGGCATGGTGAATAGTTCTAGCATGATAAAGTATTTATATTTTGTGTATGATGCTGATGCATTGCTCGTGTAATTACTTATCCTTGTGCTTTTATTGAGGTTATTTTCTATGCCTTGGATGTGTGGACTGAGACTTATTTGGCTTAGTACATTTTCACTATTACAACCAACTTCATTCATATATGTTCTTCAAATATGAATTTGAAACTGCTGATCAACTAGTTCTTAAGAGTGAGATAGTGTGGATGACCTAAAACCTTTTCCATGGATCTATGTCATATATCACAACCTGTTATTTTAGTAAATAATCCTGCCAATTTTTTTTTTTTTTGACTTCAATGTGGACTGGAATCAACTGACTTCAGACACTGACATGTATACTCCATTTTGTATTCCTTCAGGTTGGGACAGCTATGACAAATGCCTTCATCAATGCAAAGAAGGCAGTCAACAAGTCATCTGAAGGAGAAATTGAAAATGTTCCAATACTGTCTACCAGTGCTGCCTATGGTGTCTATATGGCAGTTTCTAGCAATCTCAGGTAAAGGGGGTAATGTAATTAGTGATGGATCATGTGGCGATCATAACATAGAATCTACAAATGATTTGAGGATGTGGCCTTTGCTTCGAACTTGCTCTTGCCTTGCATCTGGGTTTTTCACTAATTAAATGTTAGTCAACATCTAAGAGCATGCTGATGTAGTATGATAAGGGTCTTAAATTTAAGGTCTGGGTCTTGTAAAAGATCTTGGGTCTTAGGAGTTAAAAAAATATTTAATTATACAATTAAATTAACTTTTAAGTTTTGAAAAATTGAAGTGAAAATAAAAAATTGTAAAAGTGAGAGTCTTATAAGACCTCATCATCAGAGCAAAATTTGTAAGAGGATTTTAAAAATGATGGAACATGGTGGGATCCAAAGTAAAATAAGAGCTTATGAAAAAGTCTTCTAAAAATGATGGGACATGGTTATGAAAAAGTCTTATAAGACTCTTGCATTGGTGATACTCTAGTACACTAATAAAGCTACAACAGGTGTTACAAAATGTAGATAATTCCAGGTGTTATTTGCACTAGTTATGTTGTATAATTTTCTGAAGAAAATTTACTCTTTATAAACTGTTATCTTTTGACATATGAAGTCTGCTATCATTATTATGCGTTTTATCACATCAAGAAAATGCTCTAATCTGTTCATATCTCTGCTGATTTTACTGACAGGTATCAAGTGCTTGCTGGAATTATTGAACAGAGGCTTTTGGAACCTTTGCTGCATCAGCACAAGCTAATTCTTAGTGCACTTTGCTTTGCTGTGCGAACTGGCAATACATATTTGGGTTCACTATTGTAAGAAATTTCATTCCTTGTCTGATTACTTTTTTAAAAGAGCTTTGCGTTCATGTTTTGATGTGTGATTTTTCCTTGACAGATGGGTGGATTATGCTCGTTGGATAGGGGTTCAATAGGCTCAAGACCAAGATTACCAACATGTTGGATCTTTTTTCATTGACTACATTTTTCTCTAGATTTTCATTTGCTCCAGTATTAGACATCACAAAACTATTTGTTTTCTGCATAGGTTTGGTTGTAGGATTATTATCTCAGTAGGTTTCCTTCTCTTCTATTTCTATATGCTTATTGCTGAGCACGCTGCGTTTTCTCACATGTTTCCGCATTCAATTATGCTATGAGGACATGAAATAAATTATTTTTTGATATTAGGACATAATTTGACACTCTGAAAGCTGAAAATCTTGTGATTGCAAGATACAAAACAAGCATTTTATTATTAGCACCCGAGTCTTCTATCATTTCAAACTTAATCTACATTTTGATTAATTCCCTGTAAATTTGGTAGAATCATTATGCTAGTCATTTGCAGAACTCTAATTATCAGCATGGCAATTCCTTAGGAATCATTAAATTTAGACTGGGATCTCTGGGTGCATTCTTCTCTATTGATGAATTTGTTCTTACTAATTTGTTTTTGTTCATTCGATTTGGATCCTTTCATGACAAACCCATGAAAGAGACTTAAAATGTTGTTATAATAACACCTATCATTGTTTGTATTCAATATATTTAGACTAGTTTTTCATAAACATTTTTAGGAGAGAAAAATAAAAATGAAAAAAGTAAATAAAATGGTTTTCTCAATAAAAAGGTTTAAATTCAGAATTTAGAGAAATTTCAAGAGAGTATATGCAAATTAGTTTACGTATAAATTAATTTTTACTTGTGAAAAAAAAATTGTTTTGCATTTTTTTTCTTTTACAGATGCTTTTGGAGAGATTTGTCTACACTGACAGTTTATATTTTAGTTTGTGTTTGATTTTGTTTTTTGTAATTTTGTTTGTTTATATTTAAACTTAACAATTTTTTAATTGTTAAAATTAAGCCTGTCTCCATATTTTGTTCAATAATAATTGATGAAAGTGTAACAATTATCGGTGATGAAAAAAAATGAAATATACAAAAATATAAAAAAAAATGAAAGTTTTAAAAGTGAAGGATAAAACTCAAACAATTGACAATTTTAAATAGATGAAAAAACATCATTACCCTAAGCAAAACTTATAAAATATTATAAAAAGGAATTTTCCTTTGTTAATGAGTGTTTTCAGATGGAAGCATAAGTGATAAGTGATGTCTTGGATACTTTGAAAATGGAAGATTCCACTGGTGTTATTTAGTCAATTATTAATTATTTTTATCTTATAAATACATAAAATTTATATACTAACTTATTTCATGTAATTTTATATTTTTTATCATTTAAAGTATTATATAATATTACAAATATAACTAGTCTGTGATTTTTAAGATATAGTATTTATTCTCATTTTTTAAATATTGTAACTAAATTAATAATAATGAAAAAAAAAGAACAAACACTGAAAAACTATTATCACAAACTTAGCATGGAAACAAAAATCAAACACAATTAAGACTGTAATTAAGGAAGTGTATACAATTGAGGTGTCTTTGTTTGTAAGGTAATAAAAAGTTTGTGTTAAATAAAGAGAGGAAATTTGGCAGAATACTTGAGATGAGGGACATTTTCACTAAATGGATGAAAAAATAATACTCACTGTATATTTTTTAATGAATGTTTATAATAATATATTTAAAAGAAAAATTACTGCCTACATAAATTTATTTACTATCCGTTTATTGTCCATACTAGTTTTTCTTCACCTTTCATAATTTTTTTTCTTTCTTCATTCATATTTTCTTTTCTTCTATCTTACTTTTCTTCTTTCTTCTATCTTATAAACAATATTAAAACTAAAAAAAATATTAACTAATTATTTAAATTAAGTATATTTTTTTATTTAATAATTATATCTAGTTATAATAATTTTGAGTTATGATAATTAATTAGATTAGTTAATTTTAAAAAATATTTATTAAAAAAATACTTTAAAATAAATATTTAATTTTTTTCTTAAGTAATATAACAATAATAATATTTATAATATCTCAAATTTATCATATAATATATTAAATTATAGTATTTCTGAATTGTTTAAATATTTTTTCAGCAATAAAAAAAAGATTTATGTTATAAAATTTTAATCTAATATTTTTAATTGAATAATAAGATAGAATGAGAAAATCACATGAGAGAGAAAAAAATAATAAATAAATGAAGAGAGAAAAAGATAAGAAAATGAAGGAGGAAAGAGAAAAAAACATATATATTATGTTAGAAGAATTTATTTTTTCATATTAAATTATCTAGTTAGATAAATAAATTCGAAATTCTATTAAGTAATTGATTCAATTTTTTAAAAAAACACTTTTTAAAAGTTTTCACAAATATCTGAAATACATAAGACCTAAAATGTTTATAAATTTTATTTTAATCAATATATTTTATAATTTAAGTTATATAAATTAATTTAAGGTTTTATTTTGATCTGTTGTTTAATACATATTTACAGAAAAGGAAAAATAAAATTGATTCTAAACTTAAAAAAAGTGATGATCGAATTTAACTTTTTCAAAAGTAAAAACATATAAATTGATTTTAACTAAAAAAAGCTTGTCTTTTATTCTTTTATAAATGTGTATTAAGAATATTCCTGAATGCTTTATTATTAGTTGCTATTTACATTACTGTCTTATTTAGTTTTTTTTCTTCTTCTGTTTGTGTTCACTTTTATAAGTCACAAAGTATATTTTGATAATTACTTCTTTGTACATAGTGGGAGATTGATATCTAGAATGCTTTTCATGCAATGTGTTTTTCAAGAATTATTAGTAAATTGATTTTGTTTTTTGAAGTCAAATATTGTTTAGCATTCACAACTCTTCCAATTAAACTATACTTAGCACAATATATAAAAATATAATTGTATACTAAAACTTTTTTAATGTTTTTATAATACATATTTCATCTAATATATTAATTTATTGATTTATATTATGTTTTCATTTAATTGATAATTGATTTTGAATAATTTTAAGGGTTCGGATACTAGTTTTTTTTCTTTTATACTTAATAATTTATTTTTAAGTTAAAATTAATTATATACTTAAAATGAATTTTATGATGTATTATTAAAATGAAATTTATGATGTATTATTAACATGTGTTTTATGGTGAAGGATAGAAGAGAAAGAGGAAGCATAGAAGATAAAATTGAAATCTTGATAGTGAAAGATGAAAAGAATATAAAGGAGTAATAGTTATAATCAATCCTTTTAAAATGGATAAGGTGATGAGTTCAAAGATTTAATTAAAATATACTATATTTTAATAAAAATATTATATTAAAAAAATAATTATTTTTATTAAAAAAAATAATTCTACTTAAAAATTTAGTCAATTTTTTTTAATTTTATGCTAACTTAATTAAAATTTAATTATTTAAAAATTACATACCAATTTATAGACCTATTAAATCATTTTAATGTGATTTTCAAAATAGTGGTTAAAAATAGAAGTCTCGTAATTTTGTCTTACAAATAATATTTAAAGTAATAAAAAATTAAAAGGAAATGTATGTGAAGATCAACCAGAGACCTTATTCTTTGTCCTGTTGTATTTTTCAACTTATATTTTCATATATTCATCTTCATCTCTCCTTAGTATTTTATATTTTTCATCGACTAAACAATTTTAATTTATATTCTATTTCTTATCTATTTTCTTTCATCTTTGTTATCTATATCTACCCAATTTCTCTTCATACTGAAAGTGGTGGCAAATACAAAGCATAATTGAGATATAAATTCATAAAATATTCGTCACCCATTAAAAGGTTTACTTATATTTAAATGAACTAAAGTATAAAGTATAATTCATATTCATCTCTTTCTCAAGAGGAGTATACATCATAAAATAAGAGAGGATAAGGGGTAGAGGAGAATAATTTACTCTAAATTATAACTACATGTGATGTAACTAGTGATATAGCACTAAAATTACACTAAAATTGAAGTTGCTTTCTAGATATTACTAGTCAGTTTCCAACTACAGTGCTCTACAGGCTTATTAAGAAAGATGTCAAGTTTCCCGAGGGCCATCAAATGATTGTGTCTTTCTCAAATTCCAATGGAGGCCTTCATGAATGCTGCGCAAGAAGTCATTCGTAGAATCAACCAGACATGCCGTAGGAACAGGCCAGGGGGCCATGCTGCACACCAGTGCATCTCCAGGTGCTAACTGCTTCCTGTCCTTCCCATCAAATGATGCCCATGCAGGGCTTCTGCTGTTGAATGGTACTTGCACCCTCAAAGTCACATGCTCCGGAAATATCAATGGCCTAAATGATAGGGAATGTGGACATATTGGTGTGAATAAAATACCTGGAACCTGCACATTCAAGACTCAGTTGCAGAGGGAGGTAGAGACTGGTTATACCCATATGAAGTTCTAGCGCAGTTTAAAATGAAATAAATTAATTAGCTTCATCATGCTGTCACTGACAGAGTAAGCTTAATGATGTAACTTCAATGAATTAGATTTCTGGGGCAGTTGAACAAATATAGCAGACTACATTCGGTGACACACTGAAGATACATTTTTTAATGAACTGACAATTAATACTTTATCTAAATGCAATTAGTGCACAAAGGAGTTCTACATTCAAATGAATCCCATCATTTAGAAGCAATACTATTTTCTAGTTCTGACTTGTGTAAGACTTTTAATTCAGAAAAATAGAAAATCAATCTACTAAAGCTTGGTTATTTCAAATTCAATTTTATTCTCCCAAGTTTTATGTTCACATTTTTCACACCATGGGAAGAGTAAACTGGAAGGTAGTCACGTAAAACTCAGTGGGCCTTTTATCCTCAATTGTTTCTGCTATTCCTAGAAAGATAGTCTAACAGCACAAGTCCAAGTGGGAAACTGCGATTAATTTGTACAATTCATTTCAAAATAAAGTCCCACTAAAATCACAATGATTTATTTTCTTGTAGAATCCCAATCCCCGTGTATTTCAAGGAAGCAAAAAATCTATAACTTCAGCCATAATTACATTTTTCGTCAATCAACATTAACTTCATTATGTACTTTAAGACCAAGAAACAACTCTAAGATAAGGATTGACCAAAATTTCCGTTGTCAAATATTATCTTTATTGATCGGTTAAAACCGTATACAAGAAAAAAAAAAATTAAACTCTGCAATCAAGGGATAAGGATAAGAGACTTTTAATCAAAGTACCTGTGGATGGACCATCGAACCTCCAGCTGCTAAAGAATATGCTGTACTGCCAGACGTAGTGGATAAAATTAATCCATCCCCTTGCACACACGTGACGAAGGAGTTGTCACAGTAACATTCCAAATTTGTGAGGAAAGAAGATATTCCACGATCAATTGTAACCTCATTTAGAACAAGCATAGGTTCTTCAGTTTCATATTCATTTTTAGCTGCTTCTCGTATTACATGACATTGCAAACGATGCCGTAATGTGATACTAATGGGGCCCTTTAAAACTGATTCCAGGCATTCCTTGTAATGTTCACTATCTGAACGATGGTTAAGTTCAGTTTCCAATTAGAAATGAAAACAGTTGTTATAATAAAAGAAATAGTAGGGACAAAATAAGTTGCTCTCGTAGTAACTTGATCTCTATTCTATATATATATATATATATATATATATATATATATAGAGAGAGAGAGAGAGAGAGAGAGAGAAAGTTGGAGGATACAGAAAGGGGTCATAAAGCCAAGAGACCCTAAAGAAAAAGGAACAATAGGAGGCACTGGCCCTTTGAACATAGATGCTGCCTGCACATTTAATACAAGAAAATTACTAATCAAAGTCACCAAGCAAACCATATACAACACATAATAGGATAGGTAAAATAAAACCAAGTATCATAAATTTATAATAGGCCTATTTACCAAACTCTCTAAGAATGAATAATCAATTGCCAGAGATTTATGGTACAAAAGATAGCTCATCCTTATTCTAACAGTCATCATATTCTTAGAAAATTCAAGTTCCAACAGGAAAAAATTATTCAAATCCAAGATCAGTAATGTTAATTAAATGACATTTAAACTCTTAAGATGAAAGGATTTTTATTAGTGATTTGTATTCGTATGAATAAGTAATTGTAAGTGAAAGTTGATACACTATGTAAATGCATGATTCATACTTACCTCAACATGATATCTTTCCCTCAAAACTATCTCAATGCATCAAGTAATATATAATTTTAATAATAACCATAACGATAAAAATAGTAATAATATAAATTCAGCAATTAAAAGAGTGCTTAAACTTCAGGCATCATTTGTATGGATAAATTACTGCTAATCTGAGAGTTTCTATGGTGTGTCAATTTTATATTGTTCACAACGCCAGTTGGTTAAATTTTAGGCAAATAATTTATGGCTTCTAACCATATTGTGACAAAGTTGACGTGTTTCACTTTGAAAAGTGAAACTTTACTAGATTTGGATCAGAAATAGTTTTCTTCTGAGACTAAAATAAAGGAAATTCATAGATTGAGTATACTAGAAATCTATACTGCTTTCATACAAAAGCAAATTAAGTTAAAATTGATTTCACATACCCATAGGACAGTGCCATCTCCACCAAGAGTTACCACGAGGTCAACCTTTGTGTGCAACATCAAAACTTCCTTATCTACATAAAACGTTGTAGTTCATAAAGAGCTATAATTTAAAAAAAAATAACAGTATGCAAAATAGTTTATTAAAATGATAATAAAGATATTGTATGAAGTGAAATTCATCATCTTAATTCAAACAAGGAGGCTGTAATACCATAAATAAAACATGATTTGTTTAATCTAAACTCGGATAATTTGCTTCAAATAAAATTATTGATTGGGGTCCATCAATTCAGAGCTAAACTCTAATAATCTTGTTCTGGACCATACAAATGGTAAGTAATGCAATATTTGAATGCTAGTTTATTGATATAGCAAGTAAACATTTTGATACTCAAAGAAGGGATGGTGTAAAATGACTTGACTACTAGGTTTAATTTATGTTCACCATAACCTTCAGGATTTTGCTTTATATGTCTGTTTTTGCAATAGAATGAATAGACAAGACATATAATTTAACTAATGGAAGAAGACGCTCAAGAGTTTGGGAATGCAAAAAGGAACAGTCAACAAAAGAATAATATAGAGAAGACTACCGCAGGAGACTTTAATAATAGACAATTAATTTGGTTTTAGGCTAGAGTGGTCAACCATAAAGGCTATGTATGTCGTGGGGCTTTCATGAAAATAAAATGAAACTTTAATTCTAGCAACACTTTAATTCACTTTTTTAACACACTTTATTATTGGTTGAAACTAAGTGTCCCACTTCTTGTTAAATAATCCACTCTCTTATTTTGTAGTTTTCAATAAATTCCAATCAATAATAGTGTGTAAGAAAGAATGTGTTACTCTTCAGGAAATAATCCTAGTTAATGAGTTAATTGAAAACGTAAATAATAAACTTTATTTTGCAATGAATCCAAAAGAAACTAAGCAAAAGAAAACCCCCCTAACAATCCTCCAAAGACAAATTCAGTGTACAACCTCGTGAAGCAAATTAAGTGAAGAGGTCTCCTTTAATGAATTTAATTGTTTACCATCATTCCAAGTTTCTACGAAGTTAAAGTATGATGATTCTGATAAAAGCTCCCCCATAACACGTGGTTCTACATAGATGTGTAGATTCTTTTGCTGCCTCAACCATCTGGGAATGAAAAAAAGAAGCACACAGCACATTTAGAGTAAGGTTTGGCATGGCTGAAAAGGTAAAATCAAAATAAATTTTTCTGTTCTATAACCGGTTACTCACTTGTACCAAAGACAAATAAGTGGAAGGATAAAAAGGCAAAGGATAGATGTAAAACCAAATCAGTATTATATTCAGGAAAACCTTATTTTGGGGAACCAAAAAGTGAACAAACAATATATTAGAGTTCATACCTAATCATTTCAGAACACAGAATTTGAACTGAAACTGAATTTGGTTTGGTCAATATGAGCACTGTCTGTGGGCAGGACTCCCACTTCAAAGAGATCTGAAATAAGTATAACTTCTCAATTAGACAATATACAAGTATAGCCATAGAAAAATTAGAATTAGCATGAGGTAAAAAGTTATGAAAAAGGACACAAGCTTATCAATCACATTGAATACTAAAATCAAATCGCTCACGACAAGAAACACCTGCTTACTACTGCGCTCTGCAGTGGTTATATTTCCTCTTTCAAAAGAGACAATGTCATGTTTGTACTGGTCACTTTGCTCACCTTTGCAGAACCATGAAAGTTTAAATGAAGCCTGTCTCGAGAATAAAGAAATAAATTAAGATCAATTTGGCTTAGCAGGAATAAAACGAAGTATATGCATTGCAAATTTAGCAGGTGACAAGAAGAATATGATTTGGAAGTAAAAATGGAAGAAGATGCCACAGGTTTTTAAGTTCAAATATATGGACTCAATAGAACAAAATGATGTAGAAATTAATGACGATGTCACATGCAGGATACTGGCGGGATGCATAAAATAGAATAAGGCGCAAAGGGTTATTGTGATCACAAAGTCCCTATCAAACTCAACGGAAAGCTTTTTGTATTGCTAAATGTCTGACTATATTATATGGTAGTGAATGTTGGACTTTAAAGGGACAACATAAGAGAGGTGAAAGTAGCATAAATGGGAATATTAACATGGATGTGTGGCCACACAAGAATGGCCAGCTTACTGAATGATATATACAAGAAAAGAATGGTGGCCACTGATTGAGGAAAAGATGATAGAAAATCAATTTAGTTGGTTTGGACGTGTACAAAAAAGGCTATGAGAGTCATTGTTCAAAAGTGTAGATGACATAGATGTTGTGTGATCAATATGTCGCGAATCTCACAGTCAGATAAGACTTTGTTGTTGTTTAGTTAGGATTGAATTTGTAATTTTAAGATTATTAACCCACAAAACAAAAATAGGAAATTAAAGCAAGGATATGAATTAGTTACTGGTATGACATATTCATCCAAATATATGGTGATGGTACTTGCACAATGTAATGGGAAAAGATGTACAAAAAATTTAATAGTTAATCCGTAATTTTGTACCAGTAATAACATTACTAAGTAGTAGTTACACCAGTTGTCATTTAAATGTAATTGCATAAGGCTCAATAGCTTGTGCTGCTCTGAAGATTCATAAGCAATTCAGCCTTATGAATGTTTGAACATGAGAAACATCAAAAAAGGCTAGACAAACCCGTGTGCACAGAGACACAAATATTTCAAAAGATAAAAAATCAACAGGAAACCCAACTGTGACACGTCATAGCCCAATTTGCTTCAAGCAGGGATTTAAAAAAAAATACCTTTTTGACTATCTTCGAATCAGAACTGGGTGTTCCATCCTTAAGAACCTCATGGGAGCAAATACCATTCCTCGAACAACATTTTTCAGATTGTCCATTAGCTCCATTGCACGACGTAGGTTGTTTGGCAGGGCTCTTTATCCTCACATCATCAAGACCAACCTGGTGCTCAAGACATGATTTTTCTGTAATAAAAACAAACAGCAAACAGAAATTACAAACTTCTAAAGTTGAGACAGAACATCACATAGCAGAGGAGATGGAAAGCACTTAATATGATATAGACCACATGGTACATAACTATGGAAATCACAGAAAATTAGAAAATTCTAACACTTACTTTTATGCTTCAATCAATATATCTTTATAATGTTTCAGTATTGCAGGGACCTTCGTAGATAGTAGAAACTTAGAAAGTACATAATAACATCCAAAATATTTAATGGTTTACTTCCTCCTCAGGTCACGATTGAGACCATCAAACTAACTTTTTTGCAACCTTACGAAAATAGAGGTATTATATTTTCACTAGAGGAAATTCTGAAATACAATATTATGTTGAATGACCATGAATACACAGTGAATTCAAGGGAAAACCAAGACGCTAAGAAAAATGTGATGAACAAGGCCACTTCTTATTTAAAGCAAAAGATTTCTACCATAAAAACAAATAAGAAAAAAAAAAAACTGAAGCCAGTAAAGTACTCTCTTTGAGAGAGTAAAAGTAGACTTCCTCACTTCTAAACAACACAATACAACTATATGAACTTGAATTCCAATCACAGACAGACAGAAATTGGATTGCATTAAACAAATACTTAAGACAGCAATTTTGAATGAGATGATGGGTACGAACAAAGAAAATAAAAAGTTAACAGACATTGTATATAACTGAAATATGAGAACAGAAATAACCAAAAGAAATAAATTGTTCATCAATCTACAACTGTACAGAGAGCATGATCACAGTTAAGTCAAAAACAGATGAAAAAGATTCTTTTCCGTGTGCAATATCAACTGCTATAGAATTGAAAATATAAAAATAAAGAATCTGCATATTGTAGTTATTCAATTATTAGAACCTGCATGTTCAAACTTCCCATTCCGATCCCTCTCCAGCTCATATTTACGTTTCCATTCGGCAGCCTCAGCTTGAGCAGAAGCTTTCCCTTCAGCAACTTGCCTTAGAGCCTTTGCAACAGCTAGAAGGAGTTCAAGATAAAATAAGGACAAAGATCTTTGCATCAAGATCATGTCTTGTTGCAGTTGATATTAATAATTTGAACAAAATATGATCATACTTCTTAAAGCTTCAGAAAACTCTATAAGATGGTCATCCGATCCCTGGATAGGAGATTGAAGTATCTCTTGCACTGCTTTCTCAGGGAATAGAGAAAAGGAATTGACAAAACCATTCTCAGCCTGTGAACATGACATACATGCATTTCCCTGTTGCATAAAGTAAATCAGACAAAAATCAGAAAACAAGAAATATAAACTTGTCACTGATACTGCTATACGTGAAAGTGATGCCCTCTTAAGCAGTGAATATATTTGGACTTTGGTTGTGTTTTTTTAATTATAATCATGAACATATGAATGACCAGCAGGTAATTCATATTGGCTGATACATCTCTATGTCAAAGAGAAATGAAGGTAGCACAGACTGGCATGAAGAGTAGTGGTTTACAATAATTCCACCTAACAATCTATAAACTTTGATCATACAGGCAATCCTACTGGACGCTGATCCTACAAGTAATGAGGCAAACCCAGGTCAATTTTAACTATAACTAATTTTTGGGCATCCTCATTTTCATTTTTCCGTAGAAGCCAGCAATTGAATTTTGTTAGCATGAAAAACATGGCCAGTTATAACAGTAAAGGATCGCCAGGCTCCCAAATTCCAGGAGCACAAGTCCAAACCTCAAAATGGGACACAAACAAGCATCCCAATGAGCAAAGCTTGCTAGCGAAGAAAAACCCTAGCAATTGATGACCGAACCAACCAACAATTAAGAATACAAACCAAAATTGAAGCTGAAATTAAGAAGAAGATGATAAAAATAAGGAAGAAAAGATAAAATTACCGAGGAATTGAGCTTGTTTGGAGCCATAAATGAGAATGGAGACACGACAGAGAACAAAAGGAGGATGCACAATTTGGATCCCTTTGCCTCGTTTCTGCTCCAATACAATACAAGTGTTTGAAGAATTTTGACCTTCAAATGTTTATATTTATACGTATACAACTCAACACAACGCAAGGCACATGCTGGTTCTGTACATTTGATTAAACATTTCCTTCGAATTTGGAACAACCCAGAAACAGTGGGGTTTTCAGGATTTTGTTTTCTTATTATATTTTTCCTATTCTTTTTTATCACAGATAGATAATATTTCGTGAGTATTACAACGTGATTAATTTCAGTTAATGAATTAGTTATTTAATATTTATTTTTTTATTGTACGAGTAAATTGATTTAGTCTTCTTCACCCAAAAATTAATATTATTTAGTCTTTTCAACTAATGTATATTAGAATCTAAATTAATAAATGGTTGTTGAAAATAATAATTTAACCTTAATTTTTAATATGAATAATAAAATTAATGAGTAACGTCAATTTTGAGAACTTCAACTCATCTTAACAAAACAAAAGAAATTCAACGCATTATTATTAGAATCAAATATTGATTTCATTTTTTTTATTATGAAATCAAAATTGGATTAAAATATGGGATTAGTTTTTTTTTAATTAAACAGTAAAATAATATTTTAAGACATACTACTTCATATTAATATTACAGTGAAAAAATTTGTGAATATTTCTACAAGTTTCATTTCATTATTAGTTTTATTTTTCATTCTTTTTCAATAATTTAAAATTAATTTGTTAAAATTATGTATAAATTAAATTATAATAATGAAGTGATTTGTTTTTAGTCTTTGGTTTGACTCTGGTGCTTAGAAACTTTGAAAGAATGAAAAATGTGGGGTTTACGCGCAAACCCTCGCATCCATTGTCAACCAAACCAACCACTACGCACGCCACAACTAAACCAAACCAAACTTGCCCCATTCTCATTTTATTATTATTTTTTTTAGTTTTAAATAGAATTTTCTTTAATTATTCTTTTGAAAAAATAATTGTTTCTTTAATTATTTTCTTTGAATACAAGGTTAGTGGCTTAATGGTTAAGCAAAAACAATTTAAATTGATTGATTGGTTGATTTACAACCACATTTAGTCTATCATTTGTTTCTGAATAATTCTAAATCATTCCACGTAATAGATATTAAGAAAAAATGGAGAGAAAAAGATAAATAAGATAAACTTTAGTAATTTTTTTATGGAATAAAGGTTTAATTTTTATTATCTATGTGTAAAATTTTTATTTCTTTATTATAGAAGTTTAAAATTTGAAAAACAACTACTTATGGAGCTCTTGTTATGAGTATTTTAAAATTGGAAAATATTATAAAAATATAATATAATTATTTATTTTGTATTGACTGTAAAAATTTGGAAGAAAAAAAAGATGAAGTCATGATGATGCAATTTTTTTCTCTCTTCACATTTCTTCATTTTCCCACACAACCCAACTTCCTCGTTTATTTTCAATTTTTTTCTTTTTTTCTCAATTTCACACTTTCTAGTCAAACAAACAAAAAAGGAACGGTTTTATGTATTAACCCTTATCTAAATTAGATTCATGTTTCATTGTAATTTGGCTTTTCGATAAATCTCTTAAAAACCTATCATTTTAACACATAAAATGTTTTTTTATTATATAAAAAAGTTATTTATATGATTATTTTTTAATAAAATAATTCATGGAAGAAATAGGAGAAAGATATGATATTATTATATTTTTTAATTACAACCTTATTTCTATTCATAAAGTTGTTTATTTTGACATATTATTGTTTTTAATGTATATTTTCTATATATTAATGTTTTTTAGCATTGTTTTGAAAAGATCGGATCAAACAGTTTAATTAGTCTAACTAGGAATTGAATTTAAAATCAATTTATTATTTATAAATAATCAAATTTAATTAAACTGAGATAAAATCGATAAAATCAATAACACGAAAAAGATCTGACTAATTTTTAGATAGAATGAATCTTTTAAAACAAATTATAATCAATTTTTAAAAATAATTTTTTTATAAAAATTATAATATATTTTTTATTTCATATTAATTATGTTAATTTTAAATAATTATTATTTTATTATATTTTTATCTTGTTTGAATCCTTTCTCTTATATTCTTTGTTATATTAACTTTAATTGTAATTTATATGATAATGAGAATAATCTTTAATCTTTACTATTTTTCTTTGTTTTGTAAGAAAACATTGTTATAAATAAATTTATTATATTATAAAAATAATATTTTATTAAATTTATTTAAACCTTAGTTCAAGTCCTTTAAATCTTCTACCCATGTGATTAAGTGGCAGGTTAGATTTTTAAAACATTAATTTCTAGTGGATATTAACCCAAAAACGAGGTTACCAAAAATCCCTTATAATTAAAGGATTTTGTAAATGAGAGAATTCAAATATGTGATATTTATAAAGGGTGATGATCTTTTGACAACGAAAGAAAAAACAACCCAAAAAATAATCCATTTTATTAATATAATAATTATAAAAGAGTTTAAATAAAAATAAAAAATAGTTAAAATTATTATTATAATATAAAATCCAGTTGTTTGTGTGAATAGTGGTGTCAAAATATCTTTTTCCATTTATAAAACAACTACAACAAAGTAATCATCTTTGCACAAATGAATCAAGAAACCAAGTTGGGCTTTTATGGGCATAGTTAGAGACCCGTTATTTTTATGGGCCTGAAGAAACCCAAACCCATTGGGTCGTGCAAGTTCACTATTCTCTACTTCCACTTTCTTCTATGTTACAAAATACTCTTCTTCCATTCTTTATCGGAGCCACACTTCTCTATTTTCCGATTCATTCTCACCGTAAAATCCAACCCTAGCTATGGATAGCTTACAAGCCACCTACAAAGACGAGGAAGATGAAGAAGACGAGGCGCCTCCACCCACCGCAGCCACCACCGCCGAATCACCGGAAGTCCCTCCCGCCAGCACCAGCACGCCCTCCGACACCCCAACTGAACCCCCCAACGAAGCGAGATCGGAGCTCGACCCCTCCGACGATATCTCTGACGACGAGGCCGCCTCCGACGGCTCCAAAAAGTCCCAGAAATCTGGCCGCGAAGAAGGCGATGCCTCGGACGAGGAGCCACCGCCAAAAAAACAGAAGCAGCTCTCTTCTCTCACGGCGGAGGCGGCGAAGGAGGATTTGCCGGCGCCGGCGCTGGCTGAGGGCGTCACCAACGTCACGACTCCGGCGACCAACGGGTCGGCGCCGAACGCGAAGAAATCGAAGAAGAAGAACAATAACGTGTGGGCGACAAAGTCGACGCGGAAGGGGAAGAAGAAAAACAACCGAAACAACAATAACAACAACAACAACGGCAACAACAATCACGCGAACGGCGAGGACAACGTGCTTATTACGCCGGTGCCGCGGTTCCCCGACAAGAGCGACGACACGGCGGAGATGAAGATTTGTCTGTCGAAGGTGTACAAAGCGGAGAAGGTAGAACTGAGCGAGGATAGAATGAGTGCAGGGAGCACCAAGGGTTACAGAATGGTGAGGGCCACGCGCGGGGTCGTGGAAGGCGCGTGGTACTTCGAGATTAGGGTTGTGAAGTTGGGGGAGACCGGGCACACGCGCCTCGGGTGGTCCACCGAGAAGGGTGATTTGCAGGCGCCTGTTGGGTACGATGGGAACAGTTTTGGGTACAGGGACATTGATGGGAGTAAGATTCATAAGGCGATTAGGGAGAAGTATGGAGAGGAAGGGTACAAGGAAGGGGATGTTATTGGTTTCTACATCAATTTGCCTGATGGCAAAAACTATGCCCCAAATACACCTCAATTGGTCTGGTATAAAGGCCAGCGATATGTTTGTGCTCAAGATGCTAAGGAAGATCCACCTAAAGTGGTGCCTGGTCAGTATTCAACTTTATTATTTAGTTTTCATGATTCTGATTTACCTCTTTCAGCTAGGAAACTGAATTTTCGATGGCTGGTGAATAGGGCTGATAGATTTGTACTTGGGTGATTGGCTTTTTTAAGTGAAGATACTACTGAAATACTGATTGTTGCTTGTTTAGTGTTTGAGGGCTTGGTTAATTGTTCATGCTTTTGGGTGGTGGGAGACAATTTGACTTGGCAACCTTGTTTTAAGATTGCTTTATTGTGATTGGGGTATTGCGTCTACTTTATTTCTAGATTATTGAGTATGGAATACTGTATGTTGCCAATTTATCTATCAGTATTTTCAATGATAGGTGGTGGACAACAACGCGTCAAACACTTTTAATGGATGGTAAAGCTGCCAATGGCAGAGGCTTGGAAACCTTGTTAAAAAATGTAGAATGGACTAAAAGGACCTGCATATCTCAAACAAAAGGAAGTTAACGAGTTATATTGAGAACAATGAACATAATAAAAACATTTTCTAACAAATGAACACTTGTACACTTAATTACTAACATATATGCTGGTTATGCGAGAATGATATTTTGCAGAAAAAGAAACCAATAAATAGCCAGAAATATCTTATGTGATTTGCATAATGCAGATAGTAAAAGAAACTCAGAAATACTAAAATTTTTTGGAGACAGAGATGCAAAATGTTTGTATTTAAGGATCTAGAAAGAGTGTGAGATTTAATGATAAAATTGAGATTAGAGCCTGCAGAGAAAGTAATACAAATGAGAGAGTTCACAGAAACAAAACTTGATTGAAACAGAGATAATAAAATTTGTTCAAAATTTTCACCCATTGGCAGCCAAGACACATGCAGCAGAGATGAGAGTAGAATGTAAGAATATGGTTTTCATGTCCTTTTTCTTCTTTCTTTTTGTAACATGAGTAAGTAGAAACATCTAACCATCATCTAAAATTTGGTAAACATGTGTTGGAGGTATGCACAGAATTGGAAAATGTGGAAATTTTCTATGCCTCCATCATTTCCACCCGAATGAATGGTCATTTGGAACACTGTTTTCAATACAATTTAAGGTGTTATTCTTTCAAACCCTGAGTACTATGGGTTATTTCATTCTTTGAAGTTCAAATCTTATTGATTGGGCTTGTCATGGATATGGGATATTGGACATGGATGCTCATCTGGGATATTTCAGGGAAGTGATATTGGTGCAGCTTGATTTTAGATTACTCTTTTTATACAAATAGGCCAATTCCTTTTTTGTTAGCTTATTAGTTTCCAACCTTACCCCATATTGGAAATCTTTATTACCATGTGGCAGTAAAATTGATTCTTTCTGTAAATTCTTATCGTGAATTATTCTATTTCTTTCATTCTTGTTATGCATTTTTGCTGATGGTGCATTCTTCTTTCAATGATACTTCAGTTGATAAAAAAATCATTTTTTTTCTAGCAGGATGCCAATAATGTGAATAAATTAGGGGTGGAAGAGAAAATGAAATTGTTTTGTGTTGTAAACATCCCAATAGATTCTGACGGATTGTAAAATATTTTGGGCATGTTAGACAGAAAAAATGTCATTTTCCCCAATATACAGATACTTAATGGAGAATCATGTATTCTTAGGATTATATTAGGGTTGTGTTTGATCCAACTATATTGAACATTCTCCTTGAAAGAAGGAAAACCAAATCCTATTTAAGATAAGTTCTTAAAAAGAAAGGTATTATTTTCTTAAAAAAATGTAAAAAGGCCAAAATATTGAGCTTATGTATTAGCTAATCGGAAGTTTTTTTTTTTTTTAATGAGAAGAGAAGTTTCCCCAAAGAACTAGGCCAAACATTATGCAGGTTACCCATGCTACCCTTGTTGGAAGTCTCACATCGTCTACCTCGTATCATTTGATATGGTTTAAATACATGTTAGGCTACTCCACGTATAGCCAATTGGTTTTATGTTGAAACCTTAACATGGTATCAGAGCCAAAACCTAACATCTTTTCGGTTATTGTCATAGGCAAAAAGTTGCCTTTAGTTGGGTCAAAAGTACCCTTTGCCTGGTTCGGCAAACTTCGTTGGAGGGGCGTGTTGGAAGTCCCACATTGCCTACCTCATGTCATTTAGTATGATTTAAATACATGTTAGGCTACTTCACATATTGCCAATTGGTTTTATGGTGGAATTTTAACTACCCTTTCAACACTTCTTCTGGTTTGACAATTGTGGTTGGAGGGGGGGGGGGAGACAGCATTATGCAGCATGGATTAGAGGTTTAAGTGAGTATACATGCTTTATGATGTGTGAAGAGATCATGTCTGTGGGTGACTAGAAGCTAGTAAATCCAGTGTATATATGAAGGTTAGGTTGCAATTTTCCTAAATGCACTAATTTGTTACCCCTTAGGATGACACGTTGAGAAAGTGAAAATGCAGAATAGTAAATATATTTGTGCCATTTTTGCTGGTAGTTAAGTACAAGTCATTGTAATTTGATCCTGAATTTATTTTGGCATCTTTGTCTTATCTTCATTCCTCAACGTTAATTTGACTGACTGAAAGACAATGAATCCTTGAAAACCTTGATAGCAAATCAAATTTTGTAAGATGCCTTCATTAGCCTTGCTCCTTAGTCGTTGGAATTGAAAAAGCTGTTGACATTTAATAGTATGACATTATTTGATCCATGTAGCCGATTCCGCCAAGTGGGAAAAGGGCTTGATGTTATTGTTGTTCCCTTGCATATAGTACAAACATATTCTCTTTACTTTTAAGTTGTATTGTTTTTTTATGAAAAATGTAAGTTGTATTATTATGTATCATTTGTAAGTTCCATATATTCTATTCTGTTTGCAGGAAGCGAGATATCATTCTTTAAAAATGGCATATGCCAAGGTGTAGCTTTCAAGGATCTCCACGGTGGTCGTTACTATCCTGCCGCATCAATGTTCACTCTCCCCAATGAACCAAACTGCACGGTTAAGTTCAACTTTGGTCCTGACTTTGAATGTTTTCCTGAGGATTTCAATGAACGGCCAATTCCTAGGCCAATGATTGAAGTTCCTTATCACGGTTTTGACAACCGAGTTGAAAATGAAGAATCTAATGAGAAGAAATCCTAGAAAGAGTTATTTGTGTTACTTTTATTGTTAATTATAAAAATTGACTCACAAATGATTAGATTGGTGGTGTAAACTTCTGGAAGAGAGAAATTGACCGCATGAAGTACATAAAATTTGTATGTGTTCAATTAGATGTTCTGTAGTTTCTTACTTTGGTGTTGCCTTATTATTTTTCTATTCGAGTTACATATGGTGTCTGTTTGATCATGCACAAACCCTTTGGTTACTACAGGCAAACCGTAGCTCACATGGTAATCTAATCATATCCCTCTTCTTGTAAGGGATCAAGGCCTGATGGTATCAGTTGCCTTTGCCAATATTATACTATAACGGAATATGATTATAGTGGAATCGGGCATGTACCACTCTGATCCCATCGGAGAAAAAAAAAAAAAATCTGAAAATTGAAACATCTTAATGCCGTGAGGCAAGGTTCTTTGTTTGGCTGGTCCATATGCAGACATAACCCCAGATGAGAAGAGCTAAGTCAATGTAAGTGACTCTGCTTCTGTGAAAACATTCAATACATTATTCAATAGGTTATTCAGTTAAAAGAAATTTGCATGAACGCTTTAGTTAATGCCAATTCCACTAACATAGGATGGCCATGACTACTGAAATTGGTTCTCACTATTATAAACTATTGGCTATTGGGCATGTAGTGGTTGGTGGGGCTTGTGGTGAGTAAAGAATGGGCTGTCAAGGAGGATAGTTATGTTGGGCGGTTTAGACTTTTCTTTTCTTACACCCTCGTGATTTTTAGCTGTACTTCATAAGCAATGTGCACATACTAAAACACACTTTAGGTTAGGCTCAAAGAAAGAAACCTTATCTCTCCGGGAATTCCGTGGCCCATTTCTGCACCTTCAATCACGACGCCTCTTATCCCTTCACCGTGACGCCAGCATTACTCAACAACACCATTAACTTCCTCTGTTTCCACCACGACCCCACCTCAAGGTAACACTTTAATTTGAAAAGCTTGTTTTCGTTCCGTATCTGTCATCTTTTTAATTATTTTGGATTATGTAATTTGGAAAATTTTCAAAAAGGTCAATCTGGATGTATTTGGAATAGGTCACACTGGGGTGTAATTTTCGTGAACTGGGGATAGATTAAACAATCCAAAACCCTGTATCAAAGATGGTAATTTGGAAATGTATTCTAGATTGAAAAATTTTCAATTTCCGGATTACTCTGGAATACCTTTCCGAGTTACCCTAGCCATAATAGGTTTCGGATTGTTCAATCTGCAATGGTTTTATGGATTATGATTTTTTGGATTGTTCATTCTAGAAGTAATTTTCATTGTTTGCTTATATGGTTATTGTTTATATGTGTAGATACTTTGATTATGACTAGGGGAGGTGGTTAGTGTTTGTATGTGTGATATTTTGGTTATGACTATGACTAGTGGCACTAATTATTTTGAGGGTAATGTAAAAGATGAGGAACCCCAATTAGTAGTTGATGAACCTCTTAAGGGTTTGTAGACACTTCCTTACTATCAAAATATGGAGATCATGTGGCTTGCAACTTATAGGATGAAGTGGTAATTGATTGACATGATATACATGTTGCATTGTATAAAATTCACATGATATGTTATATTACAAATTTTGATGTTGTAAATATTGAAATAATTATTGGTATTTGTAGGATCATACGAACTGAAGTTGGTGTTTCATGGATAGAAAATGAATAAGGAAAGAGTCCCACACTAGCAAATCAAGGTCGCAATTGAGTTATCTGATTGACATCACTTGTGAGTGTTATGGATTTCTCATTACTCGTTAACCTACCAGGGTAATTTCTCATCATTCACTATTATTTATGGGTTTCTCGTAGATTAAAAGGACATTTTTACCTCCACTAACAATAATTTGTAAATTTTTCTTGCATCACGTATTTATTTTAACCATTTCTTTCACAATTTAACCACACACGTTTTTTTCCTTATTTGCCATTTGCTGGACCCGAACTCTATGAATTATGGATCCAAACATAAAAGCAACTCCTTAACTTGGACCCATTTAAGTAGTGACCCCGCTCCGAGGCAAATATCTACAACAATATGGTACAAAATCATTTTATATGAAATTTTTAAGATTTGAAAACAATTATCAAAACTAAACTTTATTTCATCCATTGTGAAAACATTAATACAATTTATTTAAATAAATTCATTCTTCATCATAAGAGATATCATGGATGAGTACATCAAAACATTATTTATACGGAAAACATATCAACTCTGATATATTAATATATAACTCTTCATTTGTTGTAATTTGTAACTAAATAAGTTTTAGACATTCCTAAAAACTTTCAAAAACCCTGAACATATAATCCGAATATTTATTTTAATAATTTTGAAAAATATATTATTTTATCCTCGGATTGGGTGACTCATTTAGCTTTTGTATAGGTAGTTCGAGATTCCACATTACCATGAATTGCGCTATCCTACATTATTTGTGTTCCATAACAGTTATCTGTGTTGTTCATAATTTACTTCTTCAACCACTTCGAATTATGCTATTCGGATATTATGCTTCTGGATCGTGTAAATCCATAAATGATGCAACAACAGCAATTAATATTATTTTTCGTTTCAGAACACTTACCCTCGTTTATCCAACGTCAACCACCGTGAACACTGCTGAAACAACTCACGAATTTGCAGCAATGGAAGCAACGGGGGAGAAAGAAGCTAAGAGCATTCAATCTTTGATTAAAATATAAGCTAAAGGCAGCATGGTCTTCTTTCTCAAAATTATAGGATGCCATTAGAAATGGGCTGCAGGAAGCAAGTGGCAACGGTACATGGACAGACAGACACCTATACAGTATCATGGCCGAAGGTCTATTATGTGCGTGTCGTGGGGTATTGATGGAAGGAACTCGAGGGAATTTTTGAAGTTCAAAATTATTGTAGTATTTGGAACAAATTTTCAGACATGCACATGGATGTTGTATCGAAACAACTTTGCAATCACTCCCTTGAGGCTGGATTTTCCAGTACCAGATGTTCTTCAGCTCTGGGTCCATGATCACGGTGTCCAAACTTTACTGGATGCATGAATCGCACTGATCGCCACCTCGCGTCGGAATTCACGTGCATTTTGGAATCCTTATCGTCTTGTTTGGTTTGTTATTTGTGAATCTTGTGTTTTTTTATTTTCTGCTCCTGAGCATCATCCATCTCTTTCTCCTCTTGTGGCAGAGAAATCATTGTTTTCTTTGCTAGAGTTTTGATACATTCATTTGATGTGACCAAAACTCAAAACACGAGAAAACTTAGTTTAATTCCGTTTTTAATATAGCATGTCCGAAGTTGTTAATTTAAAAATAAAAATAAATATTTTATTATAATTCTCATTATAAAGGTGTTTAAATTTTTTAAAAAAAATTAAAATTAAAAGAAAATTAATTATATAAATAATTTAGATTAAGTTTTAAGTATTTTAAGCATGAAATTATAATAAAATATTTATATTTTTTCTTAAAAACACTAACGATGAATGAATAATAAAATATTTATATTTATCCTTAAGTAATTTTTATTAAAAACTCTTTTAGATGTCCCTAGACAAATCCATTAAAATAACTCATTGAATTGATTAATTAAAACAAATACAATGACACTATAGAACTAATAACAGTTAACGATTATTCCTATAGAAATACTATCAAAGAACTAACTACTCTTAAATATTTTATCAGCGAATGATGGTTCTAATGAACAAGTGAGTTGAGATCCTCTTGAGGAGACAAGGGATGCAGTGATTGGTGGCGCTTGGAAGGGAAAGATGGTCCTTTCCTGAACGAAGGCCGCTTCTTGATACGCTGCAGAGTTTGCCTGGCGTAGATACCATAAAGAAAAGGTGAAGCTCTCTCCTTAAATTTTAGAATGAAAAAGAAAAGAACTCTAAGCAATATGAGGATGATCACGATTGCAGCTAGGTCCCACCACTTTGAGTTATCAACTTCAATCCAAAACATGGTTTTGAGGATGAATTCTCCTTTCAGTTTTGGACCCCGAGGTTCCAAGGGATCAAACTCCATTCCAATCAAGTCATTCTTGAAAGCACCCTGCATTCCAATAAACAGTAAGTAAAGTGTTATATTACGTTGTGAAAAGGCTAAATTTCAGAAACTATATTGTTTGAGGCGCTAATCTGAGTACCACTCCACTTCCAGATAAATCTGAGTACGTTTAAATTGTTGATAAACAAGTATCTAAATAAAGCACTTCGTATATTATCACTTGATGTGTTTGCAATGAGTGGTACATGGTCAATTTATAGGCCTTTGGATATGGCCTCTGAACTACATGTATTTAATACAACTACTACCTTTCAACTACATACATTCAATACAACTACTATTTCTCAACTACATACATTCAATACAACTACTACCTCTCAACTACTACCTCTCAATTACATGCATTGAATGTTTACCTAACAAAATCCCCCCATAAACTTAAATGTTTTTCTTGTCCTTCATTCCAAGCATCTTCTTGCTGTTCTCGAACAGAGTGGTTGACAGTGGCTTCGTGAACATATCTGCAGCTTGTGCTCGGGTTCCGACGTGCTCTAACTCCACATTTCCTTCTTTCACTTGTTCTCGGATGAAGTGAAATCGAACATCAATATGCTTGCTTCTCTCATGATTGACCGTGTTCTTTGCCAATTCAATGACCGACTTGTTATCAACTCGAATCACAGTCCCTTTTTCTTGCTTCAACTCCACCTTGCTTAGAAGGTTTCTAAGCCAAACTGCATGACAGACACTCCAGAATGCTGCAACGTACTCAGCTTCACAAGTTGACAACGTTACAATGGGCTGCTTTTTTGAAAGCCAGGTGAATGCTGTGTTTCCCACGAAGAATACATATCTAGACGTGCTTTTTCGGTCATCAACATCTCTACACCAGTCACTATCAGAGTAGCCTACTAGTCGATAATCATCCATCCTAGTATACATTAGGCCAAGTGACACTGTTCCTCTCATATACCTTAGAATTCTCTTTAGTGCCTTCCAATGAGTATACCTTGGCTCCTCCATATATCGACTTGCTATCCCAATACTTAACATTAAATTTGGTCTGGTATTTGTAAGATACCTAAGATTTCCAATCAGACTTCGGTATTTGCTCGCATCAACTCGGTCTCCATCTGCATACTTAGAAAGTTTTGTACTAGGTTCCATAGGGGTGGAAATCGGGTTGCAACTTGTCATCTTAAACTTCTTCAAGATCTCTTCAACATACCTTTCCTGCGACACAAAGATGTCATTCTTTCCTTGAACAACTTCTAAACCAAGGAAATACTTCATGAGACCCAAATCAGTCATCTCAAACTCCTTCTTCATCACTTCTTTAAACTCTTCAATCAGCTCGGCATTATTCCCCATGAAGATAAGGTCATCAACATATAGGGCAACAAACATCACATCTTCTCCTTTCTTCTTTATGTATAGAGCATGTTCATAAGGACACTGCTCATATCCATTCCTTTTGAAGTAAGTGTCAATTCTTTCATTCCATGCTTGTGGGGCTTGTTTCAAGCCATAAAGTGCCTTCTTCAATCTCAACACTTTCTTCTCTTCGCCTCTTCGCATGTATCCGAGTGGCTGTTCAACATATACTTCCTCCTCCAAGATTCCATTCAGAAATGCCGACTTCACGTCCATGTGCAAAATTGTCCATCTGTGTTGAGCTGCTAAGGAAATCAGCAGCCTAATTGTTTCCATTCTCGTCACTGGGGTGAATACTTCATCATAGTCTATTCGTTCCTTCTGCTTGTACCCCTTCACTACGAGTCGAGCTTTATATCGCTCAACTTCTCCTTCAGCATTTGTCTTCTTCTTGTACACCCACTTTACGCCGATAGGCTGTGCTCCTTTGGGCAAATTAGTCAGTCCCATGTGTTGTTGCGTTCTATTGCCCCGATCTCCTCGTCCATTGCCTTTTTCCACCTTTTCTCCTGCACAACCTCTTCAAAACTTAAGTCTTCTGAATCTGCCAAGAGACATACAACATGCACTTCGTCAGTGGAGTTGTATATATCTTGTAAACTTCGCGCTCTGGGTTATAGAGGTTCATCTTCTTCATCAGAAGTCGCATGATCTCTCACAGTATGTGGTGTATCAACTTCCGAGCTTCTACTTCCTATGGACTCCTTATCCGGATTGTTCCAACTCCACTCGCTTTCTTCATCAATTTGAACATCTCGGCTTATAATGACCTTCTTAGTTATTGGGTTAAACAACCTGTACGCCTTGGTTTTTTCATCATACCCAATAAACACGTACTTTTTGTTTCTATTTTCGAGCTTGGTCCTCTGTTGAGCTGGAACATGACCATAAGCTATGGTACCGAACACTTTAAGGTGAGACACACTCGGTTTTCTTCCACTCCAGACTTCTTGCGGTGTCTTCTCGTTCAGCTTAGCATGTGGACATCTATGCCCAGAACTCCTTTGGCACGTTTTTGCTTCTCAACATTGTTCGAACCATGTCAAGAATGGTTCGATTCTTCAGGCAACTCCGTTTTGTTGGGGTGAGTATGGTGCTGTCAGAAATCTCCTTATCCTTTGCTCCTCGAAATACTTCATGAGTTCGGATGAAATGAACTCGCCTCCTCGATCAGACCTAACAGATTTGATAGGCATGTGAGTCTCTTTTTCAACCATTGCTTTAAATCTCTTGAACACCTCAAACACCTCAGATTTCTCCTTCAAAAAATATTCCCAGGTTTTTCTTGAAAAATCATCTATAAAAGAAATGAAATACCTTTTCCCACTGAAGGACTCAGGGGTAATCGATCCACAAAGATCTGTGTTAATCAATCTAAGTTGTTCCTTTGCACGGTACTCGGTTGTCCTCGGAAATGAGGTCCTCGAATGCTTTCCGAGCACACACTCTTCACAAAATTTCTTTTCAAATTTCATAGACGGGAGTCCTCGCACCATCTCTTTCTTTACCAACTCGGTCAGCCCGCCAAAATGCAAGTGGCCAAACCGAAAGTGTCACATCATTGCTTCATCCTTCACGCCAAGTTTCAAGCACCTCTCTTGGACTATCTTCAAGTCCAGCTTGACATTCTGTTCTTCTTCATTTCTACTCGGGCAATCAAACGATCCGACTTGTCTTTCAGGTATAGGACTCGGTCTTTTTTGAGATCGGGTACATAGTACACGTCTCTGATTTCTCCAACTCGGCTATTCTTCTGTAGGTACTAGATTGTACCTCTGCCTTTTACTGCCACCTTTGATACATCTCCAAATGACACGTGTCCGGCCTCAACTTCAATGAGCTCCTTAAAAAGGTTATCGTCCCCGCACATGTGGCTACTTGTTCCTGTATCAAGATACCAAACCGAGTTGTCAGAACAGCTCGGACTTAGCTCGACATCCGAACTTCTTGACATCATCAATACTGCTTCTTCCTCAGCGTCCTCAGAGAGAAAATTTGTTTCCTTCTTGCTCTCAAATTGGCTGAGTGTCTGAGTGCGTTAAAGAGAGTGTTTGAGAGTTAGAGAGTTTGTTCGAGATGACCAACTTAGCTAACAGCATGCCCTTGCCAAAGTTATCGAAAGGCGTAAGCTATGATAACTGGAGCCTGCAAATGAAGGCTCTCCTTGGTTCCCAAGAAGTATGGGATGTGGTCGAAAATGGACACCAAGAACCAGAGAATATTGAAGAGCAGACGATTGCTCTGCTTGCTGCATTGAGAGCAACACGAGTAAAGGACAAAACGACTTTGTACGTACTGTACCGAGCTGTTGATGAGTCCGACTTTGAGAAGATAGCAAATGCTAAATCTTCAAAAGAAGCGTGGGATATTCTGGAGAAAACATATAAAGGGGATAATCGCGTGAAGCAAGTTAGGCTTCAAACTTTTAGAGGCGAGCTTGAAAGCATGAGGATGAAAGAGGTTGAAGGGGTTGCCGAGTACATCTCCCGTGTTGAGACCGTGGTAAATCAACTCGGAAGAAATGGAGAGACGCTGCCCACTTGCCGAGTGGTGGAGAAAATCTTAAGGTCGTTAACTGATAACTTTGAGAATATCGTTTGTGCAATAAAAGAGTCTAAGGACTTGTCACTGCTCTCGGTGGAAGAGCTTGCCGGGTTGCTTGAAGCGCATGAGCAGCGGAGAAGGAAGAAGAAAGAGGAGTCCCTTGATCAAACACTCCAAGCAAATGCAACCTTAAAGGAGAAGAAGGTTCCTTATGCTCAGAACACTCAAGGTCGAGGTGGTAGAGGCAGAGGAGAATATGAAAGAGGCAAGGAGCAAGTCAGTCAACAAAGGCCGAAGACAAGGTAGAGGTCGTGACGGTAGAAGTCGAGGTGGTCAGTCAAGCAATTCCGGAGTTGAGTGCTTCAAATGTGGGAAGTATGGTCATTTTGCTAAGGACTGCTATTCAGGTATCAAATGTTATAATTGTGGGAAGGTTGGACATTTCGCGAAGGAATGCCGATCTGAGAGGAAGAAGGAGACAAACCTCCTCTCTGAGGACACTGAGGAAGAAGGAGTATTGATGATGTCGAGAAGTTCGGATGTCGAGCTAAGTCCGAGCTGTTCTGACAACTCGGTTTGGTATCTTGATACAGGAGCAAGTAACCACATGTGCGGGGACAAGAGCCTTTTTAAGGAGCTCACTAAAGTTGAGGCCGGACACGTGTCATTTGGATATGCATCAAAGGTGGCAGTAAAAGGCAGAGGTACAATCTGGTACCTGCAGAAGAATAGCCGAGTTGGATAAATCAGAGACGTGTACTATGTACCCGATCTTAAAAACAACATATTGAGCATGGGTCAGTTGATGGAGAAAGGCTACTCGGTTCTGATGAAAGACCGAATACTATACCTGAAGGACAAGTCGGATCGTTTGATTGCCCGAGTAGAAATGAAGAAGAATAGAATGTACAAGTTGAACTTGAAGATAGTCCAAGAGAGGTGCTTGAAACTTGACGTGAAGGATGAAGCAATGATGTGGCACTTTCGGTTTGGCCACTTACATTTTGGCGGGCTGACCGAGTTGGTAAAGAAAGAGATGATGCGAGGACTTCCGTCTATGAAATTTGAAAAGAAATTTTGTGAAGAGTGTGTGATCGGAAAGCATTCGAGGACCTCATTTCCGAGGACGGCCGAGTACCGTGCAAAGGAACAACTTGGATTGATTCACACAGATCTTTGTGGACCGATTACCCCTGAGTCCTTCAGTGGGAAAATATATTTCATTTCTTTTATAGATGATTTTTCAAGAAAAATCTGGGTATATTTTTTGAAGGAGAAATCCGAGGTGTTTGAGGTGTTCAAGAAATTTAAAGCAATGGTTGAGAAAGAGACTGACATGCCTATCAAATCTGTTAGGTCTGATCGAGGAGGCGAGTTCATTTCATCCGAACTCATGAAGTATTGCGAGGAGCAAGGGATAAGGAGATTTCTGACAACACTATACTCACCTCAACAAAACGGAGTTGCCGAGAGGAAGAATCGAACCATTCTTGACATGGTTCGAACAATGTTGAGAAGCAAAAACGTGCCAAAGGAGTTCTGGGCAGAAGCAATGCAATGTGCCATCTATGTGCAAAATAGATGTCCACATTCTAAGCTAAAGGAGAAGACACCACAAGAAGTCTAGAGTGGAAGAAAACCGAGTGTGTCTCACTTTAAAGTGTTCGGTAGCATAACTTATGGTCATGTTCCAGCTCAACAGAAGACCAAACTCGAAGATAAAAGCAAAAAGTATGTGTTTATTGGGTACGATGAAAAAACCAAGACGTACAGGTTGTTTAACCCAATAAGTAAGAAAGTCATAATGAGCCTAGATGTTCAAATTGATGAAGAAAGCGAGTGGAGTTGGAACAACCCGGAGAAGGAGTCCATAGGAAGTAGAAGCTCGGAAGTTGATACACCACATACTGTGAGAGATCATGCGACTTTTGATGAAGAAGATGAACCTTTACAGCCCAGAGCGCGAAGTTTACAAGATATATACAACTCCACTGACGAAGTGCATGTTGTATGTCTCTTGGCAGATTCAGAAGACTTAAGTTTTGAAGAGACCGTGCAAGAGAAAAGGTGGAAAAATGCCATGGACAAGGAGATCGGGGCAATAGAACGCAACAACACATGGGAGCTGACTTATTTGCCCAAAGGAACGCGACTTATCGGTGTAAAGTAGGTATACAAGAAGAAGACAAATGCTGAAGGAGAAGTTGAGCGATATAAAACTCGACTCGTAGTGAAGGGGTACAAGCAGAAGGAAGGAATAGACTATGACGAAGTATTCGCCCCAGTGATGAGAATGGAAACAATTAGGCTGCTGATTTCCTTAGTAGCTCAACACAGATGCACAAGCTACAGATATGTTCACGAAGCCACTGCCAATCACTCTGTTCGTGAACAACAAGATGCTTGGAATGAAGGACAAGAAAAACATTTAAGTTTATGGGGGGATTTTGTTAGGTAAACATTAAATGCATGTAGTTGAGAGGTAGTGATTATAGAGGTAGTAGTTGAGAGGTAGTAGTTATATTGAATGTATGTAGTTGAGAGATAGTGGTTGTATTGAATATATGTAGTTGAAAGGTAGTAGTTGTATTAAATGCATGTAGTTGAGAAGCCATATCCAAAAGCCTATAAATTGATCATGTACCACTCATTGCAAAATACATCAAGTGATAATATACAGAGTGTTTTATTTAGATACTTGTTTGTCAACATGAACGAATGGAAGCTCCCAATGGACATGAATGTCATGAAACCTGAGATAAAAGCGGCACAAGATCCTCTTGCAAAAATATCTCTATAACTAGTTCCAACTCCATGAAAGATTGTTCCAACACACAAAGATAAGGCAACATAGGTAGTTATCCTTATTCAGAAGTACCCCAAATCTCTGGACATGTTCACGCAAGATCTCCGAGTCAGCATTGATAGCTGCTTCCACCATTTGGCTTCGCATTTTCTTTTACATTCAAAATCATGTCCTTCCTGTAACACGGTTCCTTGGCCTTTACATACTCAAAACATGTTTCCAATTGTAGCAAAATAGAGTATTAATAGTTCAGTGAAGCATTCAATTAAACTTTGTTCATCATATTTTGATTTTTTTTCCTATGCGTATGTCTTTAAATTCCAGCACATGTACTTTCTAAGAGTCATGATGATCTCTTTTACGAAGGGATATCTTATTGTAGTGCATTTTCACAACGAGCCAAAAACTAGCTAAGCAATCAAAACGAAAGAGTTTCTTAGTGTGAAAAGTGTTCTCCTTTCTCTTATCTCCTTTATTTTTTACGAGACACGATGAGTTCATCACTGTTGTACTATTTTTTTTTTCATAGCCTAGCTGTGTAACAGTTTCAACTCATGCAAAGAATATTATTGCGTGACGTTTTTATGCTCTGTAAACAATAGTTAGTGAAAACACTTTCTGGGTTAGGGCTTCTTACAATGTTTAAGATTTCCTTGATTCTTGCCCTTGCAGTGGTTGCGTACTCAGACCATCGGTATTCTTCTATGAGTGTTGCTTTGATTGCTGCAGTTGATAATGATATTTCTTCCTGCATAAAAAAAGATCTACCTTTTAATAAAATTGAATGTGGCAAGAAGCAGGAAAACAAGATTAATCAATAAAGAAAGTTAGAAGAAATTAATAATAGGAAAGCAAAGAATTACAGATAGAAGTTTAATAGACGAATAATAATGAAACTTGATATAAAGAAATGGTTAGACATATATACATGGAGTGTTTGAGAGGCCATCATAGTGGTTGTGACAGCGTCGAAGTCTGAATTGATACAACGGAGGAAATGATCAGAAGGGTTTCTTCTACTTGGACATGGGAATCCTGCATTGTAAAAGAACTGCATGTGGATAAATTATGTGAGTTTTTAACTTATATATTAATGTTCTAAACACATTGTTTTTTTTAGTGCTACATCAGAATATGGATAATGAACATACCTCAGTTGCCTTTTGTGCAGGTCCAAAGTATATTGTTTGACCCCCAGAAAGAAGAAAGAGATGGTCAAAGAGAGCAAAAACCTCACTGCTCGGTTGGTGAATAGAAGAGATAACAGTCTTGGCATCATGAGCCAAATTTCTCAAAGTTTGGGCAACAAAATATGCTGAGGCACTGTCGAGACCACTGGTGGGTTCATCAAGGAACAAGAGAGAAGGCCTTGTGAGGATTTCAAGTGCTATGCTTAGCCTTCTCTTTTCTCCACCGCTTATACCTCTCAAGTGCCAATTCCCTATTATCCTATCTGCACATTCTTCAAGACCCATCTCCGTAATTGTTCCCTCTATTATCTCATTCACCTCTTCTTTCCTCATGCTACTTGGAAGCCTTAGTTTCGCTGAGTAATTTATTGTCTCTCTCACCGTTAGTGTTCCCAGCATTGTGTCTTCCTGGGTCACATAAGCCTGGTACGTTCACAACAACATAATCAATCATATGTATGAGTTACCACATTGATGAACACTGAAATCATATTGTAATACTTACTACACCCCCATAGCCCAATCTCCTCTTCTTTCCATTTACAAACACATTTCCAGACATTATCACATTTCTGCATAGTCTTCCTGCAATGAATCCCAGTTATCTGATATTAATCCTTTTATGTTTTAGAGTTCATCATCTTGACTGATTTTTACTTGATTTTTTTGTTTAATTTATAATAGAGAGCTAATAAAATATATTACATAAATACAATAAAGCAGTATAGTATTCATAATAAATTAAGAAACTGATAATATCATAATACAACCACAGGTACCTTACTAGTTCATTTGTTCCTACGCAATTTCCAAACTTGCATGGATCGTACAAGCAAGTTTTCTTAAGGGTAATAGAATGATTTTACATTTGCTTTCCCTTTTAAGCATGATTAATTAAGAATATTTTTATTTTCATAAACTATTACATAAATGAATCTTATTTTTTGCTTATGTCTTTCCGAAGTTTAGTATATTTTACTGTTTTTATATAAATATTTAAAATAAAACTATATTTTCATAATTAACTTAAAATATGAAATAAAAAAAAAATTGTTTTTTAAGGTAACCAAACTGCGTGGAAATAATCAATGATTTGGTCCTCCTACGATACGAACATGAATTGGGATTTTGATATGAATCCATGAACAGATGGTGATTAACTAAATAACATAGTACCTGCATTGAATTTTGGCTCCAAAAAGTAAACTCAACTCCTCCATAATGTTGCTGAAACCACTTGTTACTCATTTACTAAAAAAATGAAAAAAATAAAATAATAATGTTTTTTTTTTCTTATTGTTTTTAGCAACCTATTTACTAATTAGTTACTTGTTTCTTTTCATCATAATTGAAGCCTTTCATTTAAAATAATTAAGATATAATGGAGTAATTATTTTTCTCAATTATTCTCATATTTAATGCTGCAACTACTACAATAGTATATCTAATTAGTAATTTATTTGAATATAATAGAATTTATGTATATTAATTAACATTAAATATTGATAGTTATGAGAAGAAAGGTATCAGTTTGGAAGGGGACACCTGGGTCCTTTAATTAAATGGACATGGACACCTGGACGACGGATTATTTTTTCACACCTACCTCTCTCTCTTAATTATTGCTGGATATCTTAAATATATAGATAAAAATTTAAAAAGAAATGATGTATATAATTATTTCATGAATTAATTTTTAGAATTCTAGGTCTAAATTTAAACTCTACAAACTTTTCTTCGTCAACTTTTTATCCTATTTTTTTTGAAGAATGGGTGCAATGAAAAAAAAAATTTTGTTGAACAGCAATCATAAACCTAATTTATTTTTCAAGTAGAATAAATGGTGAGTGAATTTTATTCATTTACTTCCATTTTCTCTGTTATTTTTCATGTGGAAGATAATTAAATTTGTATTCGTGGGGAGTGACTCGTTCTCGTCTTGAGTTTGATGGAAAAAATTCGAGTTGATTGTGGATGAGGACGTGTTCGGGTTTCCCTTTAAAAGTCAGGGCGGAGCGGAGATGTGTATTGCAATCCCGACCTTATCCCCGCCCTAACTCCGTCCCGCCCCGCCTCAACTTTATATTTAAATTTTAAAATATTAATATTTTAAAAGTATTTCCTTTCTCGCTTTTATTATATATAAGGTAATCTTTTTATATTTTATTATTATTTTTTTATCCACTTTTTATTTTTTTATCTTTTATATCAATTAATTTATTATATTATTCTCTCTTACCTTTCTGTTTTCACATTTTCTTAATCTCTCCCATCAATTTGTTTTTTTTTTTAATCTTTTCAACCAATTTAATAAACACAAAGTTAATTTTTTTCTTTATCTTTTTTCTAAATATTTTACATAAATCTTAGTAATAATTAATATTATTTTATTTATAATTTATATCTATTAGGTTTTATTATATCATAATTTTTATCTTATTATTCTTATTTATCATATATCAAATTTTATCTTAATAAAATAATTGTATTTTAAAATATTAAAAGAAATTGATAATTTAAATTTTTATTACTTCAAACTAATTAAATAAGAATTAACTTATTAAATATTTTCTTATAAACTATATATTTCATATATTCAAATAACATTTTAAAAATGAATTAACTTATATATAATCAAATATTTGAATATAATATTATAATAATAATATTATAAGTATTCAAATATTTGAATATAGTATTATAATAATAATATTATTATTATAAATATTTTATATATATAAATAAAAAATAATTAAATATTTTTTACATATATATTTTAATATAAATATAATAAATTAAAAAATATATATTTAATTAATAATAATTATAAATTATAAAATTATAAATATTTATTTATGTATAAAAAATACATAGTAAAATAAATTTATTATAAATGTAATTATTTTTTTAAAAATAATATAAATTGAGTAAGAGACGGGATGTGGACGGATAACCGAAACCTAAGAGGGACAAAAACGATAACTTAATTTTTATCTCCAACTTAATTTCTATTTCCAGTGAGAATTAAAAACAGTAACGAGAATGGTTAAAAAAATTAAGAAGACTAGGATCGGGAGGAAAACCCGCCCCGTTGGCATGACTAATGCTTCCAAGCTTTTTTAAGCAAAAACTTTTCAACTACGTTCACAGCACAAATCCTATCTACCATCAGTGCTTCCAAACTAGAGAAAGGAAAACAAAAACAATTTTCTCTCCCTATTTTATTTTCCTCTTGGTAATCCAAAATTCACCTCAAGAATTCTAATAATTTTTTAATATAGTAATGAAAGTAACGTCCAAAATTCTCAAACTAATGAAGTAGATTTTCCATATGGAAGTCATTAGATTTTCTTGATATATAACATCCCTCTCCTCTCAATCTGATTTGACTGTCAGATTCCTGCAACATTCTCCATAACAAGATTTAGTTCTGTATTTTTATGACTGTTTGGAAGAAACGTCTACCACAACATTGGATGACTTGAAGTCCATAACCATGTGCAGATCACGGTAAGAAAAACTGAAGGAGTGTTGTCTAAGAAAAACCAAACATCATCTTAATTTTGGCATGAAAATTTTATACAAAGTACGACAAATGCAAACACACAGACACACTAGTAGTGATGAGTGGAGAGACGGAAAAAGAGATGAACCTGCTAAAGCATCAAGAAGAGTGGATTTTCCAGAGCCAGAAGGACCCATGATAGCCATGATTCTGTTAGGTTCAGCATATCCACTCAACCCGTTAATCAATCTCTTGGTGTGTCCATTCCCAAAATTTGGAACCACCACAGTTAAATCTTCCCACACAAGATACATCCCTCTCTTTGCAGAAACTCCCATCGTCTCACCATTTTCTGCAACACCCTCTTCGTTGGTTGTGGCTGGTTCTATCTCCATTTTTCCAAAATCAAAAGAAGGCTTTGGTAGGTTGAATCAACACAAAGAGGGAAATAAATAGCATGGCCACAACCAGTTTTACATATATATAGATAGATATATACGTGTACATGATGCACAGTAAGGGTATGGTTGACAGATAAGAGAAAAATAAAGTGAATAGACAAAAATCCATTCAATTCAACTGTTACTTTATTAACATCAAACATTCAATATTAATTTTACTATTTCTGTTTCCACTCTCCTCTTCCGATGTTATTTTTGGTCATTCGTGAAGTATGTGGAGTATTAATTTCATCCAACTCCCACGGATAGAATAATAATAGTGACGCAGCCAGTTGACAAACAAGTATCTAAATAAAGCACTCTGTATATTATCACTTGATGTATTTGCAATGAGTGATGTATGGTCAATTTATAGGCCTTTGGATATCGCCTCTCAACTACATACATTTATTACAACTACTACCTTTCAACTACATACATTCAATACAACTACTACCTTTATAACCACTACCTCTCAACTACATGCATTTAATGTTTACCTAACAAAATCCTCCCATAAACTTAAATGTTTTTCTTATCCTTCATTCCAAGCATCTTCTTACTGTTCTCAAACAGAGTGGTTGACAGTGGCTTCGTGAACATATCTACAGCTTGTGCATCTGTGTTGAGCTGCTAAGGAAATCAGCAGCCTAATTATTTCCATTATCGTTACTGGGGCGAATACTTCATCATAGTTTATTCCTTCCTTCTGCTTGTACCCCTTCACTACGAGTCGAGCTTTATATCGCTCAACTTCTCCTTTAATATTTGTCTTCTTCTTGTACACCCACTTTACGCCGATAGGCCGCGTTCCTTTGGGCAAATCAGTCAGCTCCCATGTGTTGTTGCGTTCTATTGCCCCGATCTCCTCGTCCATTGCCTTTTTCCACCTTTTCTCCTGCACGACCTCTTCAAAATTTAAGTCTTCTGAATCTGCCAAGAGACATACAACATGCACTTCGTCAGTGGAGTTGTATATATCTTGTAAATTTCGCGCTCTGGGCTGTAGAGGTTCATCTTCTTCATCAGAAGTCTCATGATCTCTCACAGTATGTGGTGTATCAACTTCTGAGCTTCTACTTCCTATGGACTCCTTCTCCGGATTGTTCCAACTCCACTCGCTTTCTTCATTAATTTGAACATCTTGGCTCATGATGACCTTCTTAGTTATTGGGTTAAACAACCTGTACGCCTTGGTTTTTTCATCATACCCAATAAACACGTACTTTTTGCTTCTATCTTCGAGCTTGGTCCTTTGTTGAGCTGGAACATGACCATAAACTATGCTACCGAACACTTTAAGGTGAGACACACTCGGTTTTCTTCCACTCCGGACTTCTTGCAGTGTCTTCTCGTTCAGCTTAGCATGTGGACATCTATTTTGCACATAGATGACACATTGCACTACTTCTGCCCAAAACTCCTTTGGCACGTTTTTGCTTCTCAACATTGTTCGAACCATGTCAAGAATGGTTCGATTCTTCCTCTCGGCAACTCCGTTTTGTTGGGTGAGTATGGTGCTATCAGAAATCTCCTTATCCCTTGCTCCTCGCAATACTTCATGAGTTCGGATGAAATGAACTCGCCTCCTCGATCAGACCTAACAGATTTGATAGGCATGCCAGTCTCTTTCTCAACCATTGCTTTAAATCTCTTGAACACCTTAAACACCTCGGATTTCTCCTTCAAAAAATATACCCAGGTTTTTCTTGAAAAATCATCTATAAAAGAAATGAAATACCTTTTTCCACTGAAAGACTCAGGGGTAATCGGTCCACAAAGATCTGTATGAATCAATCCGAGTTGTTCCTTTGCACGGTACTCGACCGTCCTCGGAAATGAGGTCTTCGGATGCTTCCCGAGCACACACTCTTCACAGAATTTCTTTTCAAATTCCATAGACGGGAGTCCTCGCACCATCTCTTTCTTTACCAACTCGGTCAGCCCGCCAAAATGCAAGTGACCAAACCGAAAGTGCCACATCATTGCTTCATCCTTCACGTCAAGTTTCAAGCACCTCTCTTGGACTATCTTCAAGTCCAGCTTGTACATTCTGTTCTTCTTCATTTCTACTCGGGCAATCAAACGATCTGACTTGTCCTTCAGGTATAGTACTCGGTCTTTCATCAGAAACGAGTAGCCTTTCTCCATCAACTGGCCCATGCTCAATATGTTGCTTTTAAGATCGGGTACATAGTACACGTTTCTGATTTCTCCAACTCGGCTATTCTTCTGCAGGTACCAGATTGTACCTCTGCCTTTTACTGCCACCTTTGATGCATCTCCAAATGACACGTGTCCGGTCTCAACTTTAGTGAGCTCCTTAAAAAGGTTCTTATCCCCGCACATGTGGTTACTTGCTCCTGTATCAAAATACCAAACTGAGTTGTCAGAACAGCTCGGACTTAGCTCGACATCCGAACTTCTCGACATCATCAATACTCCTTCTTCCTCAACGTCCTCAGAGAGGAGATTTGTCTCCTTCTTCCTCTCAGATCGGAAGTCCTTCGCGAAATGCCCAACCTTCCCACAATTATAACATTTGATACCTGAATAACAGTCCTTAGCAAAATGACCGTATTTCCCACATTTGAAGCACTCAACTCCAAAATTGCTTGACTGACCACCTCGGCCTCTACCGCCACGACCTCTACCTTGTCTTTGGCCACGCCAGTTTTGTTGACTGACTTGCTCCTTGCCTCTTTCATATTCTCCTTTGCCTCTACCACCTCGGCCTTGAGTGTTATGAACATAAGGAACCTTCTTCTCCTTTAAGGTTGCCTTTGCTTGGAGTGCTTGATCAAGGGACTCCTCTTTTTTCTTTTTTCTTCCTTCTCCGCTGCTCATGCGCTTCAAGCGACCCGACAAGCTCTTCCACCGAAAGCACCGACAAGTCCTTGGACTCTTCTATTGCACAAACGATATTCTCAAAATCGTCAGTTAACGACCTTAAGATTTTTTCCACCACTCGGCAAGTGGGCAGCGTCTCTCCATTTCTTCCGAGTTGATTCACCACGGTCTCAACACGGGAGATGTACTCGGTAACCCCTTCGACCTCTTTCATTCTCATGCTTTCAAGCTCGCCTCTAAGAGTTTGAAGCCTGACTTGCTTCACGCGATTATCCCCTTTATTTGCCTTCTCCAGAATATCCCACGCTTATTTTGAAGATTTAGCATTTGCTATCTTCTCAAAGCCGGACTCATCAACAGCTTGGTACAGTACGTACAAAGCCGTTTTGTCCTTTACTCGTGTTGCTCTCAATGCAGCAAGCTGAGCAATCGTCTGCTCTTCAATATTCTCTAGTTCTTGGTGCCCATTTTCGACCACATCCCATACTTCTTGGGAACCAAGGAGAGCCTTCATTTTCAGGCTCCAGTTATCATAGTTTACGCCTTTTGATAACTTTGGCAGGGGCATGCTGTTAGTTAAGTTGTCCATCTCGAACAAACTCTCTAACTCTCAAACACTCTCTCTAACGCACTCAGACACTCAGGCTCTCAAGCTCTAATGTCAATTTGTTGACAAACAAGTATCTAAATAAAACACTCTGTATATTATCACTTGATGTGTTTGCAATGAGTGATGCATGGTCAATTTATAGGCCTTTGGATATGGCCTCTCAACTACATGCATTTATTACAACTACTACCTTTCAACTACATACATTCAATACAATCACTATCTCTCAACTACATACATTCAATACAACTAATACCTCTGTAACCACTACCTCTCAACTACTTGCATTTAATGTTTACCTAACAGTATCAGTTATGGCCATGCATGTGAAGGATAAAGACAAGTCTGGGGTGCGACCATTCTGGGATTTAAATTCAAGATAAAGTATCTCCATCGCAATTTGTTTACAGTAAAAGAAAAACTAATCCATTTTTATTTTCATCTGTAATACTTGAAGTTTTGTCTATGATCAAGGTATAAATGATCACGAGAGTCTCGAGCTGAATTAATGAATAAGGGTGGATAAGTGTGTACAAAGAGTGTGGATGTTCTGGCCTATTTCAGTGACTGCATGCAGTTTGCTTCTTTCTTCACGAGGATGAACTTCAGGTGTTCTCATGTGAATCTGATATTGAAGGGCATACATTGTGATATTTTTATCAAAGTTTAATGATAGTCATAAATGTATAGTGTGGTGGTGGCCACTTATACATTTGGTCTCTTGTTCTATGTAATGAATATGGCTCCTACTCTATTATTTGTGGGACATTCTTGTTATATATGGTTTTGGACTTATCTTTTTTATCAGCTTGTATCTTGTTGCATGGGACTGAGTATGCACATACAACTTGTGTTTCATCAATAAATTGAAACAGAATTTTGAAAACAAAACATTAAATATCTTTGTATTTCTTACACTGAGGAAAAAAGTTTTCCAAAATTAAAACATATAAGATTAACAATATTAAATTTAAATAAAACTTTTGACAGACATCCAATTCTTCTTTTGAAAGTGTTTATCTACCTATAATTACCCATCAGAACATAAACAATATTGGATCAGAACGGAGACCGGGAATAAACACTATATGAAGATGACAAATTAGAAAGAGATAAGAAATACATGAGACAATTACGTCTGGCTGAACTGCTTGAAAGGTTACACACATAGCCAATGAGAACGTTTAGTGGTCACCTCTGTATGTGAGATTTTCTTTTATGTTCAGAACTACTTCTGCCATGTTTGGAGCAGTAGGGGTCAGGTCCGAGTTTCTAGATTCTGCAGGTTCAATGATAGGTGGTGTAGACTGATTTATGAGTGGTGGAACATTATTCTGATAGTGACTGGTACGGAGTGATAAGTCCAAGTAGATAAAGGTGATGAAGGTTTATATGATAATATTTGTTCTTGGTGAGTGACATTTCAAGAAATAAAATTTTCCTCTTGCTAAGATCCTCCAGGAGGATAGCCTCTTTTACAACATATTTCTAATCA